TACGCTCCTTGGTGAGATCAATCATGGAGAATAGAAGGACTGTGTATGCACAGGGAGATAGCTCCGGGGGGCAGGAGTGCATGGGAGGGAAGGACACAGGGAAAAGAGTGGTTGCACTGTGGGAAATTATAGTCAATGTCATGAGGCAGTGTATGTGAACTGTTGTATGGAAAATTAATTTGCTCTGTAAACTTTCACCCAAATCACAAAAATATTAAAATAATAATAATATGTAGTGGGACAAGTAAAACACCATTTATATGTACATAACAGTTTTCCATAAATTAAAAACATGCATCTGGAACTATAATACTCAAGTCTTCAAAGAACACACACAAAGACACACAGTATGTTAGAATGGTTGCATATTAAGGAAGGAAGGAGAATGGGAATGAGGTAGGAAGGTAAAATATTTTCAAAGAACTGAAATAAATAAATGACATATAGTAGGTATATCCTACTCTGAGAAATCATGGACTTAGACTGCCATGCAACTGTTATAAAACATGTTTTGAAGGTGAAAACATAATATGGCTATGTATGCAGTATGATCTCCATTATGTTAAAAATATATATGCATAGAAAAACCTGGAGAAAAAGATGTTAATGGTATCTTTAGGAGATGAGATCATGTATGATTTTAATTCTTAATACATTCTGTATTTTCTAAATTGAGTTTTTATTACTGACATATAGGAATCAACAGAAGGCTAGATTTTTAAAAACATCATGGGTCCCAATGGGAAAAAAGACAAAAGGCAATGCAGTATTGAACTGTTCTGAGTGTGAGGACCATCCATAAAATTCTTTGTAGGTTCTCTTTACCTGGAGGAAGGGGACAGGCCCTCTAGATGAAGTCAAGAGGTACATCAGAAATAGAGTCTGAGTCCAACTCCCTTGTCTTTTTCATCCTTGTCCAGCTCTTGGAGCAAGCCCTGGTGATAGAGGAACAGCTACGCCGGGCAGCTTACCTGAACATGTCCGAGGACCCTTCTCACCCTTCCATGGCCCTAAACACCCGTTTTGCCGAGGTGGAATGTTTAGCGGAGAGTCATCAGCACCTGTCCAAGGAGTCGATGGCAGGAAACAAGCCAGCCAATGCAGTCCTTCACAAAGGTAGCCAGTGGCTCTCCTGCCTCCTGCTGGTTCAATCTCCACACCCCCTGCCATTTCCCCAATACACACATACTTTTCACACCTTTTTCTGGGGCCCTTTGGGAGCTTGCAGTGTGCTGGGAACCTTTGCCTTCTTCCTTAGGAACTTAATATTTTAGAGGCAATCAAGGACAGCAATTCTTTCCCTCTTTTAACTCTTAATATATTTAGGTTCTTGGGGATAGAAAGCAAAGCAGAGTAATAACTGTCATCTGGGATACTTTTAGAGGTGATATCAGGTGATTTAAGATTCCTTTAAATTCTAGACCCCTTTCAACATTTTCTTCCTATTAAAATAAAACATTGCAAGGAAGGTAGAGGGTGAAATGAGGAAAAAGAAGGCTGTTACAAAAGGAGTAGGAGACTTAGCTGTTACAAAGTAGAGAGGAGAGACAAAAGTGAGAAAAGGGGACAACGGGAATAAGCTTCTCTTGAGAAGTGTGAGAAATACAGAGCAAGGGAAAATAGAATGAAAGTGACTTTGAAAAGTGTAAATCATGGACACTCAGAACTAAAATAAGAGAAATAGAATTTGAACATGGTAGAGGGCCAGGTCAAGTGACTGAGTGACAAAAGACAATCAACACATAACTCCAGCATATTGCAGTCACTTGGTCATTAGAAGTGATGGGAAGCTCACCCACTGTGGTAGAAGGATCTGTCTTGACCACCATAGCTCACCATCTCCCTCTTTATTCCCTTCCCCCTGCAGTTCTGAAACAGCTGGAAGAACTGCTGAGTGACATGAAAGCTGATGTGACTCGACTCCCAGCTACCATTGCCCGAATTCCCCCGGTTGCTGTGAGGTTACAAATGTCAGAGCGTAACATTCTCAGCCGCCTGGCAAACCGGGCACCAGAACCTACTCCACAGCAGGTAGGGCCATTTTCTTCTGGCTAATTCTTCCAGTAGAACAATTCTGGAGGTTGTAACTTTGTTCTACGTCCTAGCTTTACATACTGAAGCTGGTGGGGCTGTCTTATCAGTGAATTTCCTTGGGGTTGGGATGGATTCCTGTGGTCTGTAATTCTGACTTTCTTAGTTCTCTTTCCCTATAGGTAGCCCAGCAGCAATGAAGATCCAGCCAGATTAATGATAACCACCTCCACCGCTGAGCAGTGACCTTTCTCTCTTTCCTTTGTCCCAGCTTCTCCCCTGGAGGCCTGAGAGACCCTAATTGCCTTCCCTCTGCCCCATCTTCCATGTTGTAAAGGAACAGCCCCAGTGCACCGGGGGAGGGGAGGGAGTGAAGGGCAGTGGTGCCCTTCCTGCTGGAGAGACATGCAGCAGTAGCGCCGGCGCCATCTGCAGGGAGCTGGCGGGCTGGCCCTTGTCTGGGCCCTGGCTTCTCCCCACTGTAACGTCTGTTACACAAACTGTTGTGGGTTCCCGCCAGTCTTGAAGAAAATGATCTGAATTTCTTCCTCATTTTGGTTTTATTTTGTTGGGTTTATTTTGTGTTTTCTTTTAATCCTTTTTTGGGATATTCAGAGTGGGCCGGGCCCCTGGGCGAGACACAGCTACCTCTGTTGGCATCTTTTTAATACCAGGAACCCAGCGGCTCCAGCCACTGAGCGGCTAGAACGAAATAAAGTGAAGGAGAAAAAAAAAAAAAAAGAAAAGAACCAAAAGCATAAAAAACCACAGCAAATTTCTTGATGAAAATTGAAAATAAAAGTTTCCTTGTATTTTAGTGCTCTGGTTCAGTGTGGGTGTAGGTGCAGGTGAATGAGTGTGTATGATAGGAGCTCTGGGGATTATAACTGAAAACTTGGAGTTACGCTGTGTTCTGATATTCCATGCAAGAGCCATGTTATGTCTGTGTGTGCGGGAGGTATCCAGTGTGCTCTGACCAAGAGTCACTTAAAAAAAAAAAATCAGCTGCTCTCAGGCGACTCACAGGGATCCTATCGGACAGAACAGAACTGCTCCATAGGGTTTCCAAGGTTGTAAATGTTCAGAAACAGATTGTCACATCTTTCTCCCTCATAGAGGCTGGTGAGTTCAGACTGCTGACCTTTTGGTTAGCCGATGAATGCTTAATCATGAGCCACAAAGATGACTTACTAGGCACATGAAGTTGGTTCTGACTCAGTGAACTCATGTACAACAGAACAAATTGCTGCCTGTTCCTGTGCCAATCACAATTATTGCTGTGCCCATTGTTGCAGTCACTGTGTCAATCCATCTTGTTGAGGGTCTTCCTTTCTCTCATTGACCATCTACTTCACCAAGCATGATGTCTTTCTCCAGGGACTGCTCCTTCCTGGTAACATGTTCAAAGTATGAGAGACAAAGTCTGGCCATTCTTCCAAGGAGCATTCCAGATGTACTTTCTCCAAGATATGATTTGTTTCTAGCAGTCCATGGTACATCAAATATTTTTCACCAACACCACAATTCAAATTCATCAGTTCTTACGTGGTCTTCCTTAATTTATTGTGCAGCTCTCACGTACATACAAGGCTATTGAAAATACTGTTTGGGTCAGGTGTCTTCAAAGTGACAGCTTTGCACTTTATGAATTAAAGAGGTCTTTTGTAGCAGGTTTGCCCAATGCTGTATGTTGTTTTGATTTCTTGACAAGGATGACTACCTGTGGAAACAAGAAGCTCCAAAACTGCCTGGGTTCATACCCTGACTACCATTTAATGGTGCTGTGACCTTCAGCAAGTCGCTTAACTTTGGGTTGCAGAGTTCTCATGTGTAAAATAAAACCCCAAACCATTTACCTGTGCAATCCATTGTGCTGATCGCATGAGTTTCAGAGAATTGCTGCTTCATGGGGTTTTTAATGGCTGTGATCTTTTGGAAGAGCTCCAGGCCTTCGATACAGATAAAATTAGGATTATTTTTCATACTTTGGGGAGCGTAAACCAGTGAAGCGCTTGAAACCACTTGAAGACCTAGTAAGTACTACATTGCCTAATTTGAAAGAAGGCTAAAGAGTTTTGTGGTGGATAACCTGGGTGGAACTATGATGCAAGACGTCTCCCTACTGGCGTGAACGTAGGCAGAAAGGAACCTTATCTGAGGGGACCAAACAGTGACCTGTGGGGTGAACAAGGAAGTAGGTTTCCTATAAAAACTTGGGGGTAGGAAGTAGGTGACGCGAGGGTTCCAAGATCTAAATTGGGTGGAGGATGACTGGGAGCCTGACAAAAATTCCCGCTGCTACACACTGATTAGAGTGGAGGAAGGCAGGCCGTAGACACCAGCTTTTTGAGGTTAAATATGCCGTGAGGCAAAAAGTCAACGTGGAGAGAGAAGTGTCGGAGAACTAAGAATGGTTCCCTCACCATCCCACGGTCCTCCGCTGGTCTGAGCTGTACGGTAGTTTCCAAGTTTGCCCAGCGCGCGTTCCCACGGTTAATCTGCGTTCCGGGTCTAGCGGCCAACGACAGGCAACCGGAAAAGGCGGGGCCGTGAGGCTAGCGCGCTCTTTGCGCCTGCGTGAAGGTTTTCCTGGAGTGTGGCGTCCGAACTCTCGCCGTGAAGTGCACGTGGAGTGCGGAACCTACTTCCGAAGGGGTGTCTCGGCCCTGAATCTGCTTTCGGGTGAGCAGAGGCTTCGGGGTGGTTCCAGACGAAGTAAAGGAAAGAAGTGCGACTGCACCGGCTAGGCCTGGGGCGTAGGGAAGGGCTGCAGTACAAATGACGTGGGGCACCAGAGCTCGGGTCTCAGGCAGGATTGGTCGGGCCTCGAAGGGCTATCGCGGGTGCTGAGCCGAGGTTTTGGTGAGGCGGTGCATTTTCCCCCTCTAGTGCACAGACTCTGCGTTCTGCAGTTACCCTTCCAACACAGACGTGACCCTACCTTTTTTTTTTTTTTTTTCCTCAGTACCATGGGGCGCAAGTTGGACCCTACGAAAAAGGAAAAGCGTGGGCCAGGCCGAAAAGCCCGCAAACAGAAGGGTGCTGAGACAGAACTCGCCAGATTCTTACCTGCAGATAAGGGTCAGTCCTGGCCTCCTTACTCCTCAGATTTTGAGCCATTTTTTCGTCTGCATCATAACGCCCTTCCTCTGTTTTTACTTTCTGCCCCAGTGGAACCTTTTCTGCGTGTGTTGTTAGGAAGTAAGAATGAAGCACTGTCATTGCCATCAAAGTTGAGAACTTAGGGAAAATGGGACAGGGACACAAGTACCCATGCAAGAGCAGGTACAGTTTAATCTTGTGGGATTTCAGAGGACAGGGGAGCTCACGCAGTTGAGAGAGTTAAAATAGAATTTATTAAGGAGATATATTTTGAAAAACGAGAAGCATTTTGGTAGGTGGAAACCAGAAAGGGGACTGGGCAGTCACAGCTATATTACAGAAGGGATGAAGATGTGAACATCTCCATCTTGTTCCCATAGTGATGTGTATCCTCCTTGACTGTATAGCATGACATGCTGGTGGGAGGGAGGATTGGACTGGTAGTTTGTATTGGGCTTTGGACAAAATGTGGTTTATTGAGGTATTAGCAAGTGCCAAGCACTGTACTGGATCCTTGAGATAGGATACATCACACCACTTCATCTTAGAGCCCTATGGGAGAGGCCCTGTAATCTTGATTTACAGTTAAGGAAATCAAAACTGAGAGGCTAAGTAACTTGTATACAGGTATCAAATGACAGGTCTGAAATTTAAGTTTGTTATTTCCTAGAGAATGAATGTATGAGAAACATAGTAATTGTGAAGGTAAAATCTCAGGTGGTTGGTAACTGATTTAAGTGAGAAAAGAAAGGGCAGACAAAAAGATGGTTTGAATCTGAGTTGTTATTAAAATGTTCATGCTATTTATTGAAACCTGAAGTCTGGAGGGAGGCCCAGTTTGGATTTGGTTGATGAACAAGCAGATGAGTATTTCATCTCCTTTGTATCTTTTATCCAATTCCTAGCAAAGTACTGTGGTGTGAATTACAATGTACTCCTTTAAATTGATGTACTAATTGTTTTCCTACCTTTAATTCCTCTGCATTTTTCTTTCTCATTTTCATTCTGACCTCCTGTTCTGTTTTTTTTTTTTTTTTAAAGATGGTGATGAGAATTCCAAGAGGCTGTCCAGTCGGGCTAGAAAGAGGTATGTGGAGATGTCCGGCCTTACATAGAGGCCTCATTTGAGACTGTCACTGCTTCTGAGTGATGATGGAAAATGGCAGAGCCTGGAAGTATGTTTCCATTTCCTCAATCTTTGTATCTTTTCAGGGCGGCCAAGCGGAGGTTGGGCTCTGCTGAAGCCTCTAACTCAAGTAAGTCTCAAGGGCCTAAACCATTGCCTGGAAAGCTACCAAAAGGTCAGTGAAAATAGCTGGATGCTATGTGAGGAGTCCTCTGGGTTCTGGGTAAGAAAAGACTGTCTGACATTTGGGATGAAAGGAACAACCAGAGGACGTTTTTAGGAGTAAAAAGAACAGGTTCCAGGGGTATGTGGCTGCCATCAGTCCAGGATTCTTCAAACGTTTAGATATTACCTCTGCAGGAGTTGTCCAGACACCTGGTAAGAAGGGAGCCTCGTCTTTGTATAATGTTGCTCCAGGCAGGAAGCGCCCAGCACCATCCCATAGCAGTGATGAAGAAGAGGATGAGGAAGACTCTGAAGAAGATGGTGTAGAGAACCAGAGGGACCTCTGGGGCTCTGAAGACAGTGATGCTGATATGGTAGATGACTTTGGAGCCGACTCTGACTCGGAGTGGGGAGATGAGGATGAAGGTGAAGAGGTGAGATCAGAATGGATCCTTGCCTTTTAGTTTCTTTCTAAATTTTTGGAACTGTCCCTTAGTGACAAAGATAAACCAGACTAGAAGGAATGGAATTTCATGCTCTCTCACTGTTTCTCAGTTGCCTCAGGTTCTCTCCCAGGTATAGAGTACAGCAGTGCCAGTGAGGATGTGGGAAGGTAGACAACTAGTAGGCCTCCTGACGGGAATGAAATGCATATATATTTTTTATGAAGTATTTGGTATCCAAGAACAGTTTCTTCCTTTTGACCTAGTAATTGCCTGTGTAGGAAGATGATCCAAAATGTGGGCAAAGATTTCTTTCCTGGGGTGTAAGAAGTTTTTTATTACACGGTTAGTATGTGAGCATATTTGAAAAATTCAAATACGTAGTTCTATAGGGTAAGAAGGAGCTCTGGTAGCATAGTGCCTAAGGCACTTGACTGCTAACCAGAAGGCTGGCGGTTCAAACCCACCAGCCACTCCTCGTAAGGAAGATGGGGCAATCTACTTCCGTAGTGATACTGCCTCGGAAACCCAAGGAGGGGTCGCTATGAGTCGGGTCCGATTTGACGGCATATAACAACAAAAACAACAACATAGAGTAAGAAGAGGAGGTGCCCATTTACACCCCTCTTCCACAATTCCTTTCTCTCTGGAATTATGCCTGTTGGTTTGGTAGGCACCATGTGGTGATAGTGCCAAAAAGTCTGGAAATTTCATAATATCCAATATATTTAAATAAGTTGTAGGTCATGCATACAATGAATTAACATTTGGCCATTGCATTATGTCTATGAAAATGATTATGATCAGTGAATGAAATGCATTGATTTTAACCATGTGGAAAATATATAGCCTATATCTAGAAGAAAATATAATAAAATGGATAACCTCCAAAGCAATTTTTGTCTTCTTTGCATACAAATAAGTGTGTATTATTTATGTTCTAAGCGTTAGTTATAGGAAAGGAAAATACACAGGAAAGTAGAAGGGTACAATTGAACCCCTTCCAGTCTGTCACTTAGTTTCACTATTGTGTCCTGTGGAATTTCTATCAGCATCTATTTCCTTTTGAGAGCAAGTGTTAACATTTGTATCTAGAAAATACAGGGATAGAAAATGGTTCATGAGATGGTAGAAAGGCAGACTTTGCATTACCAGCCATAGTCTCTTTTTGGCTTCCCTTTTGTGCAAAAGGTTATCATGCTCAGCCGTTAATCAAAAGGTTGGTGGTTATCATCTACCCAGAGACACCTTGGAAGAAAGCCCTAGCAATCTATTGAAAAATCAGCCTTTGGAAACCAGATGGAGCACAGTTCTACTCTGATACACATGGGATTACTCTGAGTTGGAATCACCTTGATGGCCCAATGGTTTTTGTTTCTTTTCAGTTGCTGCCTATTGAAAAGGCTGCTCAGAAGCAGAAGGCCCAGGAAGTTGGTACAGGGTGAGTTTTGTAAACTTGGGGTGGAAATCGGGCAGCAGCTGGGATGGAGGAAACTAAGGATGGAGGAGGAGTCTGTTTTGGTCTGTGAATCATCTGTTTCTGGATCTGTTTCTAGGGGCTTGTGGAGTGAGGAGGAGACTGATGAAGAGGAGGAAGAGGAGAAAGTGCCCTCTGAGTCAAGTCCCACAAAGAATGATGAGATGGATGGGGGCCTGCAAATCAATGTGGATGAGGAGGAGCCTTTTGTGCTGCCTCTGGCTGGGGAGATAGAACAGGATATCCTTCTCTTGCCAGGGTAAAGGGTAGGAAAAAGATGCTTTGCAGGGAGTTATTTTCAGGCCCTAGAGCAGCATGAAATAGTTCCTTAACAGGCCTACATGCCCAGGTTCCAGACCTGCAACGAGTTCACAAGAGGATCCAGGATATAGTGGGAGTGCTGCGAGATTTTGGCACTCAGCGGGAGGAAGGGCGATCTCGTTCTGAATATCTGAATCGGCTGCAGAAGGATCTGGCCACTTATTACTCCTATGGAGACTTCCTGGTTGGCAAACTCATGGACCTCTTCCCCTTGTCTGAGGTACTGGGTAGCCAGTCTTACCCCTATTCTCCTTTTCTTTCTTGTCTGTCTTACCCTGTGTGAGGAAGACAGCCAGCCATCCCGCTTGTTCTCTTCTGACTGAGTTCCTTGGCTAGCCTGCTGTCTTGTCTTCCCAGCTGATAGAGTTCTTGGAAGCTAATGAGGTGCCTCGGCCTATCACCCTCCGAACCAATACCTTGAAAACCCGGCGCCGGGACCTTGCTCAGGTGAGGAGTGGGTTTTGAGGTTTGGATTTCCCTAACCTACCCTGACTAGATGGGGTCTTAGTACCTAAGCATTTCTTGGTAAAGCATGATCACAGCGGGCAAACTCAGAGTGGCCTGGTGTCATGCTGGGTCTGCCTTAGAGGCTCATGGTGTAGGGCCTCTGTGGCATGGGAAACCTCATCCCACCAACCTTAGGATAAAAATGCAGCCTCAGAAAGAAACTGGACGGATTTATCTGCCTTCTAGATAATTGAGAAGCTGGTGAAACATATGATTCCTGCCTCCAGAAGAATATACATATTTGTAAACAATATTTTAAGCTAATTATTTCAAGGGGCTCAGGGCCCCCAGTTTAAAGGTCCCTGGTCTAAAGCTGGGAGTTCTGGTGACGTAGTGCCTAGGGCACTTGACTGCTAACTAGAAGGCTGACAGTTCAAACCTACCAGCCACTCCTTGGGAGAAAGATTGGGCAATCTACTTCTGTAGTGATACCACCTCGGAAACCCAAGGATGGGTCGCTATGAGTCAGATCCGACTCGATGGCAGTGAGTTTTGTTTTGTTTTTTTTGGTCTAAAGCCAGTAGTGTGGTATTTTGTTGTGTATCTGTTATGAAAATAACCGTATGATTTTCTTTAATATGCTTTAACCAATAACATTAAATTTTTGGATGGTGAGGGGGCTTGAGCCATTTGCAAAATTAGGCTACTTCCAGGAAACAAAAGGATGTGAGAGCTGGTAGTCTGCTCATTGTGTTGGAGTTAGGAGCCTGAGATTAAGCATAAGTACACCGTGGGATGGGATGGGATGGAGAGGAACTGATCGAGTGTGGAATAGTGTTCTGAGTAAGGTCTCAAAGAGATGTGGGGAGGACTGTGTTCTCATGTCTCTTTGCAAGCATAGCAGCCTTTGAGGTTTTAAATTCTTCATCCTTTTAATCTGTAGGCTCTAATCAACCGTGGGGTTAACCTGGATCCCCTGGGCAAGTGGTCAAAGACTGGACTAGTGGTATATGATTCTTCAGTGCCCATTGGTAAGTGTGTCCTGCCTGGTAGCCCTCCTACCCCAGCATCTTTCCCAGCATATCACAAGTGGCTCCTCCTTCACAGGTGCCACTCCTGAGTACCTGGCTGGGCACTACATGCTGCAGGGAGCCTCCAGCATGTTGCCCATTGTGGCCTTGGCACCCCAAGAACATGAGCGGATCCTGGATATGTGTTGTGCCCCTGGAGGGAAGACCAGCTACATAGGTAAGAGAGGAATAGGCAGAGGTGGAGATCCATCTGATCTCAGCTTTTGAAAGTGAAGAGGTGAAGAGCATATGCTGTGGAATCTGGTACACACAAGCCCCTGATGCTCTTCTGTCATCCATAAAATGGGGTAGTCATTGTTTGAGCTATGAGGATTGAAGTAATACATTTAAAAATTGCAGCATAGTGCTCAGCACATAAGAAGCCATCATAACCATTTTATTAAGCTAATAATCACTTTAAAGAAGTGATTTAGTCTCTAGGGTCAGGAAGTAGCTCAGTAAAAATGGTAAAATCACATTGCTATCACTAGGGGGCCAGTGCAGTCTGGGTAGACGATACAGTAGGCAGTGAGGAGTGGGACTTGCTGGGAGTGAAGTTTTACCTTGAAGTGATGAGACTTTACCTATAGGCTCCTGGACTGGAGAGTGGGTAGCAAATGTGGAGGCAGGGGAGCTGGCTGGTCAGCACTGTTGTCCTCTCTCCCTTCCTGAAGCCCAGCTGATGAAGAATACAGGTGTGATCCTTGCCAATGATGCCAATGCTGAGCGGCTTAAGAGTGTTGTGGGCAACCTGCATCGGTTGGGAGTCACTAACACCATCGTCAGCCACTATGATGGGCGCCAGTTCCCCAAGGTGGGATTTGGGACTGTATCTCTGTGTGTCCCTCCTGGACTTTTTCACTTTACCTGCCTCTAGGAAATGAAAGGTGCTGTGCAGGTTGCAGAAAACACCTAATTAACCTATCTTTCTTCAGGTGGTGGGGGGCTTTGACCGAGTACTGCTGGATGCTCCCTGTAGTGGCACTGGTGTCATCTCCAAGGACCCAGCTGTGAAGACTAACAAGGTGAGGAGTTGGGGAGTGGGATCAATGAGAAGACCTGGCTGGGCCTTGTAGAGCAGGAGTGTGAGGTAGAGGAGCGCCTTGAGCCGTCAGTAGCTTACCCCTCTCCTCCTGAGGGTGTCTTTTGAAATCCTGATACCCCTGGGTCTCTCTCCGTGGCATAGGATGAGAAGGACATCCAGCGCTGTGCTCACCTTCAGAAGGAGTTGCTCCTGAGTGCTATTGACTCTGTCAATGCCTCCTCCAAGACAGGAGGCTACCTTGTCTACTGTACCTGCTCTGTCATGGTGAGGCCTCTGCCATGGGAGGACAGGGCTGGGAGACACTCTGCCCCTTAGAGCTCCCGTCAGTTCCCTCTGCTTCCCTTCGTTCCGTCTGTGTCTCTTCTTGCCGCATGCAGGTGGAAGAGAACGAGTGGGTGGTAGACTATGCTCTGAAAAAGAGGAATGTGCGGCTGGTGCCCACAGGCCTAGACTTTGGCCAGGAAGGTTTCACCCGCTTTCGAGAAAGGCGCTTTCACCCCAGTCTGCGTTCCACTCGCCGCTTCTACCCTCATACTCATAATATGGATGGTTTCTTTATTGCCAAGTTCAAGAAATTCTCCAATTCGATTCCTCAGTCCCAGACAGGTAAGTGATCTTTTCATCACCACCTTCGCATGCTTGAATGAGAGACCGATTTCATTGAACTGAGTGTTCCTGTGCTCTGAACCCCATTGGAGTATATTAAAGTGTTCGTATAGCTAGGGGCCTTTTGCTCTACCAAGTGGCTGCAGTTACTCAGCATAAAATGAATTCCAAATGAAGGTTGTGGTTTCTTTTCCTTCTTGGCCCAGCGTTGATTTAGTGGTAATATCCTCTGCTGGTCCAGCATTCTTTGCACTAGGTTGGCACAGGGCTTCTCAGAGCTCTCAGCAGTTCTCAGAGTCCTTCATACTAATTGCAGATCATTTCCTCAGCCATCTTTAGGCATTTGGCCTATCCGGATCTCCAGGGAGAAGGGTGGGATTTTCTGAAACAGCCTTGAGAGTTTCTCATGCTGGGATCTAAGCCTGGGTTTAGTTGGAGGAGGGAGAGGAGAGTTTCTGAATACAAACTGCATGATTTATTGAGTTGATTTTTTTCCCCTCCATATTAAATAATGCCCTTTACATTTTATTCTGTTAACAGAATAAAAACTTTAAAAAAAAAAAGCAAAATTTGCTGTAACTTAAAAGTATATATTTGGTATGCCAGTCTTATTAGTTGCTATGGGTGTATCTTACTTTTCTGCATCTGATGAAAATTAACATTAAAAAAATTACCTGTTTGATTAAAAAAACAAACGACGCCCAGTGCTTTAGGCATATCCATTTCCCCTTAGAATGTCTTATTATCCACTGTCCTCAAGGGGGCACAGCTTCTTGAAACCTTTTGGCCTGTGGGTGGATAATGATCCTTTCTTAATAAGGTTCAAATAAACCCACTGCCATCGAGTAAATTTTGACTCATAATGATTCTGTAGGCAAGAATAGAACTCCCCATAGGGTTTCCAAGACTATAAATCTTTACAGAAGATCAGCATAGTTACCATATCTTTCTCTCATGGAACAGCTGGTGGGTTTGAACCACCGACCTTTTGGTTAGCAGAGCTGATTGTGTTAACCACTGTGGCACTAGAGCTCTTCTTCAAGTAGGACTTGAGTAAAGGCCAGGTGATATTAAGTGATAAGAATTTAGATGATCTGTTTTTAGGTGCTGTCCTAATTATGTGGAACACTTGTTAAAGAGACAGTAACCAGGAAATTCCTGTATTTTAATACTTCTGTCTGTCTCCACTAACGATGAAGAGCAGTTAGTAATGAGGCCCATTTCTCATATCATCCATCTGTTTAATTTGAACTCCAGGAGATTCTGCAACAGCCACCCCTGGAGATTCTGCAACAGCCACCCTTACAAACCCAGATTTACCTGACTTGAAGGGTCAGACTGCTCCCAAGTCTGAGAACAGCATCCAGCCAACCAAAAAGGCCAAAGGGGCTGGGCATGCAAAGCAGAAGTTGCAGAAACAGAAACAGCCCAAGAAAATCTCTTGCCAGAAGCAGAATGGCATCTCCAAAAAGACACACTCAGAATTGTCCACTGTACCTTTTGTCACAAAGGCCCATACATCCTCCAGGCTCCAGGATAGTTACCAACCAGCTGAAAAAGCTGGAGTCATCAGGGAACCAAAGGTGACCAGGAAGCTAAAGCAACAGTCACCTAAACTGCAGTCTCCCAAGAAAGGTGCCTTGCTGAAGTGGAATATCTCTCCCAAAGACATGAACTCAGAAACCCCTGCTATGCTGTCTCTCTCTAAGACCCAGGCCACCCGCAAGCCTGAGAGCCTTGGGCAAACCCATGGGAAGGCCAGAGGGACTGAGAAGGTAAAGCAGCAGTTGCCAGAGCAACTGTTCAAGAAAGCATCCTTTAAGAAACAGAACGGTACCCTTAAGAGTCCTCAGATTCCCACCACGGACCTCCTCGGATCTAGCCGGCCCCCACCAGCAAAGAGGAGGAAATCTCAGTCCAGAGGCAATAGCCAGCCACCATTGCCTTAAGATAGATAGTTGAAAAGTAGATGGGGTGGCTTACTGCCATTGTCACTGGGTTGGAACTTTTTACCTCTGCAAGGAGGGTTCACTACTATGTATACACATGAAATTTAATACATGTTTTACAACCTCTGGCCACTGTGTAGTTATTTCAGTGTGTGTATGTGGTGGTAGGGTCCTGGCTCTGCAGTTCTGGGGTGGAGGATGGGACTGGGATTCTGAAGAGAAGGAACTGTTGGGTACCACGGTGAATAATCATCTGTTTCGTCAGAGGACCCAGGAAGAGGGGAGGGTTACAATTAAGAGCTGGAGTGTTTGAGCTCTGGGGAGAGGAGGGCAATGCTGGATGTTGGGAGGATGAGCTTCCTGCCACCAGAGCCCATGAGATGTTGGAGGTCCTGGGTTCATATGCCCCTGTTCTACCGTGGTGGAATTCTAGTAGGGCCTATGTTAAAGTCTCTGAGGGGAAGGGGCCGCTGGGGTCCTCTGCTTTGGGCTTGTCCTCAGACCCGGAAAAAGTCCGGGTCCCAGCCTCCAATTAGATTCTTTCATTGGCTCCCTCTCTGCCCTCCCCCACCCCCCTGACCTCTGCCACTCTTGCTGAGGCGTTTGATTGGTTGCCCGTCGTCCTCTGGCCGCCTCATTGGCTCTTCTCTCTCGCTCTCCATCCCTGCTCTTGCACCGGTCTCCATCTCCCAGCAGAAGGCGCAGCCATGAATCCGTTATTCGGCCCCAATCTTTTCCTCCTACAGCAGGAGCAGCAAGGCCTGGCCGGGCCGCTGGGGGACTCTCTGGGAGGCGACCACTTCACCGGGGGAGGCGACTTGGCCCCGGCGCCGCTCGCCCCGGCCTGCCCCACTGCCTACTCGCCTCCAGGGCCGGGAACGGCGCCCCCCGCCGCCATGGCTCTCCGCAATGACCTGGGTTCCAACATCAACGTGTTGAAGACCCTGAACCTGCGATTCCGCTGTTTTTTGGCCAAGGTGCACGAGCTGGAGCGCCGGAATCGGCTGCTGGAGAAGCAGCTGCAGCAGGCGCTAGAGGAGGGTAAGCAGGGCCGGCGGGGTCTGGCGCGCCGCGACCAGGCGGTACAGACCGGCTTCGTCAGCCCCATCCGGCCCCTGGGGCTGCCCCTGGGCACCCGGCCGGCTGCCGTCTGCACCCCGTCGGCACGGGTGCTGGGCTCGCCCGCACGCTCGCCCGCCGGCCCTCTCACGCCCTCCGCGGCCGGCCACTCGTCGTCCTCCACTGCCCTCGCCACTGCCACCGCCACCGCCACCGCCTACTCCCCGTCCGCCCGCTTCATGCCGGGCACCATCTGGTCCTTTTCTCACGCCCGCCGACTCGGGCCGGGACGAGAGCCCACCCTAGTGCAAGGGCCTGGCCTGTCGTGGGTGCACCCCGACGGAGTGGGCGTCCAGATCGACACCATCACCCCGGAGATCCGCGCCCTCTACAACGTGCTGGCTAAAGTGAAGCGGGAGCGGGACGAATACAAGCGGAGGTAGGGGTTGGGGCCGGCAGGACTCTGGCAGTGGCTCAGGATGTGGGGTAGGGATCAGTGCCCTGCCACATACTGCAGGGCTGGGGCTTGGTGTGGGTTCAGGAGAGGTGAGCAATTGGGACCCAAGGATAAGGGATGAATGAACTAGGACTAGGGTTCGTGCTGTAGAATGAGGGGCTTGGAAGGAGATGGAATTGGATCCTGGGAAACTAGAATCCAGAGGGGATGCAGAAGTAAGACTCCTGACAGGAAGAAGGATGCTAGGAGCAGAATATAGTAGGGAGTTTGTCTTTCTCCTAGGTTTGCTTTCTGTCTCATCGAGGCTGCAGTGTTTGGATGACTGTTAACTTTTGTGAAAGGGACACAGTTTGAGAGAGGTACTCTCTAGTATACTGCTATTCCCACCAGTTCTAGTCTTTGGAGCAGTTTGGGGATATAAGCTCCACATACTGACCAGAAGTAAGAGGCAAAGGATACAGCTTTAATTTGGGAGACTCAAGGGACGTTGGAAGGGGGAAGTGAGATAGGGATTGTACCCTGCAGAGTGTAGAGCTTCCACAGCCCGAGATTTCCCACAGCAGTGTCAGTAGAACTGGGTCCCTGCCCTTAGGACCTGAAAGCATTATTTGGCTTAGGTTAAAAAAAGTGGGTACAGAGAGTAAAGGGAATGTTCTAGGGGAAGAAAAGGGGGCTGGTGGTTGTCATAGGGTTAGTGGAAGCTGGTAGTATCTGAAAGGGTAAAGAGCCAAAAGGAAAAAAAGTTGGGAATATGGACCCACTCTATGAGTATGAGGCAGCTGGGGGCGGGCCCGGAATGCTCTGAGGATGAAGATTTGACTTTCTCAGGGGAACCCAGTAATGGGGTGGGTGGTGAGGGCCATGATGATGCCAGAGTGATGGCTATGCACCAAGTGGATGCCTTAGGGTGCCTGAGAGCAAGCCATTATGGCAGCAGCCATGAGCGCAGTCAGCACTTTGTAGACTCTGTGATCAGCACTCTGGTTGAGGAGGAGGAAAATGAACAGACAGAAGGAGGGTTTGGTTTAGGGCCTTAAGGTTTTACCCTAGTAGTCACTCGTGTCAGCTACTGTGCCCTCTTGTGGCAGGCCTGGGAACTACCCCTGCAGCCCAACGTAGCTGAGATCGGTGTCTGATTTAAAGTAGGAGGGAACTGGCTGGATGTTTTGGGAAATGACTGCTGGGTTTAGGGGTGTGATCTTCAGGAATCTAATACCTGCTGGAGTCTGTCAGATCAGAGATCCTAGGGCTTTCAGAGGTTGAGTTCTGTCCTCGTTCCTTTGTTGTCTGTGGTGTAAGTGTCCTTACGCAAACCAAAAACCAGACCTATGGTATCAGGTCGATTCTGGCTCATAGAAGCCCTATAGGACAAAGTAAAACTGCCCCACAGGGTTTCCAAGGTTGTCAGTCTTTACAGAAGCAGACTGCCACTTCTTTTCTCCCATGAAGTGGTGGGTTTGAACTGCCAGCCTTTTGGTTAGCTTTAACCACTGTACCACTGGGGCACCATAAGTATCTTTAGGGGTCTCAGTTGTCCTAAAACCACCATTCAGGTCCACACAGAACCAGCCTGTCCCTGCAGAAGTTAATTAATGCAGTCAACAGTGGAATATGGACAGTGCAGAAACACGCCCCTAACCAATCACAGGAACAACTGCTGTTTTTACTTTTTTTTTTTTTTTTTTAAAACTGAAAGAGTGTTTGTCCATGGTCCAGCTGTCCAGAGCAGCAAAGAGCTATTCCTTGGGGGGTGATTAGCTCATCACTCTGCAGCACATTGCTGTGTGGCGGGCCCTGTCGCTAGAACTGTGTGGTATGTGATCCGGGCACTTACTCAGGCTTCCATCCCAGATCCCCTGGCCCCGTTCTGTTCCCTATATAGAAACACCATCTCTCCTTCCTGTCTTTAGCCTGCAAGGCATGGAGATAGCTACAGCACTAAACTAGGAAGGAGCTGAGGCCTACTGGATTCTATTTTCAGTTCCCCTGCCTTGTGTGACCTGGAGTGGGTCTCTTTTTTTCCTGGGCCTCAGTTTTTCCAGTATAGGAATGGCCTTTGCTTGCTTTCTTCAACTCGAGGATATAGTTTACTTAGAAGAGAGGTGTTTGGTAAATGTGGAATACATGGAAGTGTCTCTTAAATTCTGCTCATGTTAAGGGAAACTTGTGAGACCAGATTTGAGTGGAGGTCCAAATGAACATACTGTGCAGAAGTCTGGCTGTAGAGCTAATAGAATTCTGTTGAACTTCCAGATTGTTTATCTTCAGATTTTTACCTAATACATTTTAAAAATCTTAATCCTTAACTAACTTCCTTATCTACGTTTTGACCTGATTTTGTTGGGTTCCACTGTCAGACAGAGCTCCTTCCCTGCATCTTGTCCAAGGGCCATCATCCCCTTGTCAGTCTTGCTTTCTTCATCTGGAGACTTACAGACTCCAGGGGTCAGGAGGGTACAGCATCCCATGCTGTCATAATGTAGATGGAGAAACCAAGCCTGGAAAAAGATAAGGGTCTCATTATATCTGAGAAAATAAAGACCCTGATGTTACTAGGGCCCTTCACTGGTCTTGACCATCTGTAGGAGAATGCCAGAGCAAAAGGGAGGACACGTTAGGGGCCAGCAGGGGGTGGGCAGGGGGCGAGGAAGGCAGGGAGCGGGGCTGCAGGCTGAGCTGGCAGGGTGGTTGCCAGGCCACTTCCTCTGCCCTTCCTGCCAGCACAGGAGGGGCAGCCAAGGTGATGGGGAGGAGTTATTATTAGGAATACTGCAGTGCGGATGTGGGTGAGGAGCCCAGATGAGCAAGGAGAGTTGGGACCAGAGGCAGAGCCCAAGGAAGAGAGGAGAGGGCAAGAAGGAAAACAGACAGAGGGAAGGGGAAGAAAAGGATTTAATCTTCGGTCCACAAAATCTGTTCTCTTGGGTTTTAATTTTCTTGCTGCCCTCTTTCCTGCTTCCTACCACCTTTGTTACATTGAAATTTCTCTCTTGGTGCAGTCCTCTTTCTTTCTCAGACTGGAAGCCTTTCCAGTCTTAACTTCACATGAAGCTTTATCTGAGTAGGCTAGAAGTTCTGTCATCTCAGCTGTTTTTGTAGAGTCCTGAAATGACAGGATCCAATTGGTACCACCAGCATTGCCCCTACCTTCTGTCTCTGTAATGTAATAGAATATACACTGGCTCCATGTGGACTGTAGTATTTAAAAATCCTAGTCCAGGAAAATAGTTCCCATTTCCTCTGCCCTCAGGCCAAGGGGGCCTTGCAGCCTACTTGTTGGAGTCTTAGTCTCTGCATTTGGGATGTCAGGTCTCCAAGATCCCAGAAGATGCTGCCTCAGATTCTTATCTACTATTTTAACGAGGCACCTTGTCATACTATCCCTTACCTGGTTTAGAACCCATGGAGCACCTCTGGGTTTGGGTGCTCAGAAATGCCAGGCTCATGTGGTCTGTTGCTTTAATGCTGTTGGAGGCTTCCGGCCATAGGGCCAGCCCTGTCACCTCTCTGTGGCTCACTTAGGGGGGCTCTGGGTGGGCACTTTTTGGAGTATGTGGGGATAGACTTTGAGCATCTCCTCCTAGGTGGTTGACAAACTCTGTTGATGCGGTCTGTGTCCTGCAGCTGCTTTTACAGGGTTAAATGGTACCGCAGGAGGCAGGGCAGCAGGCTAGAGGAGCTCTATACTGGTGCGGGCAGGAGGCGGGAGACTGGATCTGTGCGGCTGAAGGTGGGAGACTGGGCAAGGTGGGCCTGGTGGTCTGGTGTGGGCAGGAGGGGGTGATGAGGCCAGCTTAGCTGGTTGGAGCTGGAACTGGAGCGGGATGGGCACAGGAAGGGACCAGAGCTGCAGCAGTTGCTCTTAAATATAGTTCCTGGTACGTGGCTTGAGGTTGTGAGAAGGCAGCTGGGTAGCTCGGCACTTGCCAGGAAGTGTGGAGCAGCAGACCAAGGCCAAGCCCAGAAGCTGTGCTGGCTGTTGGCAGGCCCGCCAGATAGGCCTGCCCAAGTGCCTCCCATTCAGGGAACCAGACCTGGGGGCTTTTTCCTGAGCTGGAGAGGTGGGAAGCAGGGAGCTGTAGGGCAGGGCAGGGCTCTGTACTCATGATCTCTTGTTCTCCCGCTGTCTATCAGGTGGGAAGAGGAATACACAGTTCGCATACAACTGCAAGAGCGAGTGAACGAGCTCCAGGAGGTGAGGGTAGTTGCCTCTCAGCCCTGTCCTTCTTTACCTCCCTACTTTGGCAGTGCCCCTGATGTGAGGCTTTTCGCCCTGGCTGTAGGAAGCCCAAGAGGCGGATGCCTGCCAGGAGGAGCTGGCAATGAAGGTGGAACAGCTGAAAGCCGAGCTAGTGGTCTTCAAGGGGCTCATGAGCAATGTGAGTGGGCCATCCCTCACCCTCTCCTTGACAGGCTGCCCCAAACAAGCAAGACAGGCTGTCTAGTCTTGGCCTATTGACTTCCTGTCCCACCTTTCCAGTCCGCCTCTTGTTTATCCTTCTGATTTCTCCTTTACCACTCTTTAATTAAAAAAAAAAAAAGACGAAACTAAAGTGCTGGTATGTGTCAGAGAGGCAGTGTAGCCTCCATGATGACTAGTGATTTTTAAGTGATTAGTAAAAGCATAGATTCAAGAGTCAGGCTGCCTAGGTTCAGATCCCAGCTCTAATAACTGGTTAGCAGTTTGGCCTGGGGTGAGTTCCTCAGCCTCTCTGTACCTCTGTATCCTCATCTGTGCAGTGGGGATAGTCAAGGCATTGACTTTGCAAGAATGATTATGAAATTTTAATGTGCTTGGAACATCGCCTAGCACATACTTAGTGCAAATGAGCATTCATGATTGTTACTGTCACCACAGTACTTTCCCCACTCTTGTCATTCCCTGTGACGTCTCTCTCTCCCTCTGGGAACCTATGTTCCTGGGTGATGAGGGCTGCTGCTCTGTTGGTTGGAGTGCCCAGCTCTAGGGAGTACCTGTATGTCTCAGGCGCTGGGCCGTGCCCCCAGGGCTCCCTTCTGGCCAGAGAGCTGATGCTTGAGCAGCCCTATGTCTGAGCAAAATGCTGTGAAAAATGACGCACTCTGCTCTCAGGGACCAGCTATGGCTTCACAGAGGAGGTGACGGGGGCACATGACTGGAAGGAGCAGGAGGAACCAGTCTGGAACATGGTGCCTCCTCACTCTTCCCTGTGTTCCCTGGACAGAACCTGTCAGAGCTGGACACAAAGATCCAGGAGAAGGCCATGAAAGTGGACATGGACATCTGCCGCCGCATCGATATCACCGCCAAACTGTGCGATGTGGCTCAGCAGCGCAACTGCGAGGATATGATCAAGATGTTCCAGGTGAGAGGCCTGGGCACCCTCAGGCCCCTGGGTGGATGCAGACGAGAGTCCTAGCACCCTTCAGTCCACCTGCCCCAATGCCTGAGCCCAGAAGAGGGCTGAACAGGAAGAAACATCACACACTGTTGGCTTGGGGTGCAGGCCCCACCTTTCTCCTTCTGGGGAGACCTTCTCCTGGCAGTTGGGGACCCAGGTGGGCCTAGGTGGGGGGTGAAAAGCAGCCTCTGGAGAGAAGGTTTGGAAGCTGTCGTCTCTAACACCATCTCTCCCTCCCCTGTCTCTCCTCTGTCTGCTTCCTGTCCTCTCTCTCTTCCTCTCATTTTCTCTCTTGCCTTGTCCACAGAAGAAGCTGGTTAGTTTTGATCTCATGCAAGCTTGTTAATGTCCCAGCCCCAGTTTCTAAACTACCCAGGCCATTTGGCTGTCAGTTTTGACCCACCAGGCTTTTCAGCACTGATTCTTCTTCCCTTCCTATTTTCCTTGCTCTTCCCCTGTTCTTTCTCTCTCTCTTTCTCAGTTCTTCCTATCACTTCTCCCTCTGGCTTTCCAGATCTGGATGTGATTCAAGTTCTCCTTTGCCAACACTATGCCCTCCTCTCTCTTGAAGTCCTAAAGCTTTCTTTTTAGTTCCATCATTTCATTAAAAGACTTTTTTTTTGGGGTGGGGAGTCTTCTTTAGCCATTATACACACCTTAATGTGGTCATAACAAGCCATTCCTCCCCTTATCTTACTGCTCAATTTTTTCTGTTTCTTTTTCTTTCTTCTCAGTCTACAGCCTTGTCCCCACCTGTGTCTGTCTGTCTGTCTTTGGTAACTCTCCATGTTTCTGTTCTTGTTGTGGTAATTGTCTTTTCTCTCTGTCTGCCCCACCCTTCCTTCTGGGTCATGCTTCTTCCCAATCCTGCTCCCTCTGTCCCTTCCTGCCCCCTTCCACCCTGTTGGCCCTTTCTCCTCATGCACCCGGCCCCCTCCCACCCCCCTCTCCCACCCTCTGCCCTTTCTCCTCATGCACCCGGCCTCGTCTCTGTAGTCTCTGCACTTGTCTCCCATTAAGGTCCCATCCATGGGGGGGCGGAAGCGGGAGCGCAAGGCTGCCAGCGAGGAGGACCCCTCCCTGTCGGAGAGTGATGGGCCCCGCCAGCCCGATGGGGATGAGGAGGAAAGCACAGCCCTCAGCATCAACGAGGAGATGCAGCGCATGCTCAACCAGCTGTGAGTCCCACGGGCCCGTCCTCAGCAACCCTGCAGCCAGACTGCCTCCAGAGGCCGGAGCTCCCCAGCAGCCCCCCTTCCAGGAGCAGGCCCCCCTTGACACCTGGGTTCCCTGTCTCTAGGAGGGAGTATGATTTTGAGGACGACTGTGACAGCCTGACCTGGGAGGAGACTGAGGAGACCCTGCTGCTGTGGGAGGATTTCTCTGGCTATGCCATGGCAGCGGCAGAGGCCCAGGGAGAGGTAACCGCCCCTCCTAGCCTCAGGGCCCCTCCAGGCCCCCCTCTCCAGCTCAGTACCCTTCTTCCTCCTCTCCCTTGCCCCTCACTCTGATCCTTCTATGTGGCCATCAGCCTTTACCTGCTTCTCCCATTCTCGTTTGTCCGTTGTCTTTTCTCTCTCCAGTGTCCTTTAACCTGACTCTGTCACCTCCCTGCCTTGGCCCTGTGGAATGTCCCTGTCCCTCCCCTCCACGGTTGGCCCATCCTCACTTCCCTTTCTACTCCAGCAACAGGAAGACAGTTTGGAGAAGGTGATTAAAGATACCGAGTCCCTGTTCAAAACCCGGGAGAAGGAGTATCAGGAAACCATTGACCAGATAGAGGTAAGGGTATAGGTTGGAGCCAAGGGCCCCAGTCACCCAGTGGGTCATGAGTGGGGCTGTAGCTTGGGAGCCTCATTGCTATGTGTCCCTGGAGGGCTTCTCTTTTCTTTAAGGGGAGGCGTGCTCTCCCAGCTGTAGTACCTGTAGTGAGTTCTTAAAACCTTAGCCTCTGGAGGCAGATAGATCTGAGTTAGAATCTCAGCTCAGCCACTTACATGCTAGCACTCTTACTTTTGATAAGTTACCTTTTTCAAAACCGAGATCTTAAATAATACCTCTCTCCTAGGGTTATTGTGAAGGTCAAGTGAAATAACACATATAAAGAGCTTAGGGACAGGATCTGGCTCATGCAAGTATAGCATAATGGCAGTTTTACTATTCATAATACTGTCTGTGTTACAGTGCTCAGAGGTGGACATGAACTTTTCTGCTTCTTCAGCTCAGCCTCTGAGGTCATGGAGGGACTCTCCATTCTTATCACTTAGCCTTGAGGAACTTTCTGGAGAGGGCTAGTGGAGCTGGTGTTTTCCTTTTAGCATCCACTCTAGACTTTCAGGGGCTGCAAGAAGTGAGCTGTGGGAGAAGAGTTGGCCATATTGCTTGGGGGACCTGCCTGTGTGTGAGGTGACCCTCTCCTGTGCACTGGGACTTGGGGAGGAGGCAGGTGAGCTTCTGTAAATGTCAACCTCTCTTCAAGCCCTGTGGTATATTTTTGCTCTGTTGATTTCACAGTGCCTACATTTTGAGAAGAAAGTTGAGAAATGTTCTTCTTAAATACCCACTTGCCCAACACACATGGAATGATTCTGTTCCTCTAAGTGAAACCTGTTTTTTCCCTGCCAAGGTAGACAAATGCTAAAGTTTAAAGGCTCACCTAGATCTGTGCTCTCAGCGAAGGGGATGGGAAGGGAGAACTGGTCTCCATTTTCCTGTTTATTCCTGTCTCGCTGTCTCTTCTCTCCCTCCTCCCTAACCTGACTTTTTCAGATGGTGGAGTCATGGTTCTGTTGTACCCCTACACACGGGGGGTGGGGTGGGGCTTAGAGCAGTGAGCCAGGGCTGCTGTCTCTACTTTGGTCTTTGCCCTGGACCAAAAGTGCTCAGGTTAAAACATGAGCTGGAATAAAAGAATAGAAAATCCTGACTGGAAGCATGCCTTTGAAGATCTTATCCAGTTGTCTGACTCCTTGCTTTCACAAGAAGGTGGTATAAAGAGAAATGTTAGGAGCACTAACCAGGCAGCTCTGATTTCATGTTGCTCCTAGTGACCCAGCTGGAGCATCTGAGGTGCCTATATCCTTGTGATCTTTGATCTCTCAGGGTCACTGAGATGGAGGCAAGGGCCATTTCTCATTATCAACTGGTAAAGAAAGTCAAGCCCCAAAGTGGTGGGTGGGAGGAGATCTTTCCCCCTTTCTCCCTTCCCCATCTGTTCCTGTCCTTGCCCCGCCCCTCGAGGGACACAGTGAGAATTGGTGGGGATATCTCCTGACTTGTATGGTCTTCTCCTCACCTCATCTCTGCTTTAAATATGTGAATTAAGGGGCTACTGATAAATGAATAGAGATGCCTCGTGGCTATCCTAGCCTTGGAACTTGGTAGAAATATATTTGGTTCATTTCCTTCATTTGGTTCATTTCCTGATGGATTCCAGAACACTGACCCCTCCACTCTGGCTCTCCTGAGTTGGAGAAATTGGGGTATAGGTGGCCGCTGATCTGAATAAAAGTTGGTGCTGCCATATTTGCCTCCTAAATTGGGCAGCAAGCGTGACCTGTTCCTCTTGCTTGCAGCATCCCAACTGTGGAGCTAAGCCTGCCATTAAAGCCAAGCCCCCACTTGGATTGGGACAGACAGGTTTCTCCCTTGGTGCCATGAGTCTTGTCGATACTTTACAACATTGATTAATTCCCATTAAGGCACTGGGCATGGAGAGATGAGGAAGGCTTGTTGCTAACCCTTAAAGGAGCTCACAGTTAAACACAAGAGACTGACTTGGGTGCAGCATTATACAGGGACTAAGGGATGAGCCAAGCCCTAAAGGAAGCCCTTGAGGAACTAACTAGTCTACGGATGACCCACTAGGTCTTCTGAACCACCCAGGCACCATCTCATCCCAGGTATAACTGTCCTGATCATCTCTCTTACCTGGCCCTGTGACCAGTGTACTTCTTTCTCTAGGTTCCCGTCTTCTCTCTGTCATATTCAGATTACTTAGGGGTAGTTTCTGCCCTTTTTCTGATTTTAGGCAGTCAGCAGATCACCTCAAGCAGTTTTATTCAGCTTCCCCTTCTGGCCCCTGTCCTTTGTACCCCAAACGAAAGGAGGCAGTGGAACGTTTCCAGGCCAGATCTTTCACTGCCTTTACCTCTGACTCTTAGCCCTACAAGGAGCTCTGGTAGCACGGTGCGTAAAGCATCTGACTGCTAACCAGAAGGTTAGTGGCTCAAACCCACCAGCTACTCTGCAGAAGAAAGACTGGGCAGTCTACTTCCGTAAAGATTTACTGCCTTGGAAACCCAGTGGGGGTCACTGTGAGTCAGAATCAACTGGTTGGCAGTGAGTTTGGTTTGGGTTCTCTGCTCTACCTCACAACCTGCCTGCTGCAGAATCAGGCTCTCCTGGGAGGGAGACTGTTTCCTTGGCTCTGAGCGCTATGTTTTTCACATATAACGTTTCTGAAATCAGAATACATCTCTCTCTTTTTTTAATTTTTATTGTGGTTTGGGTGAAAGTTTACAGAGCAAATACATTTTCCATATAGCAGTTCACATACACTTTGTCTCATGACATACACTGTAATTGCACACAATATAACGGCTCTTTTCCCACATCCTCCCCATAGTTAACCTCTTCCCATGCACTCCCACCCCCTGAGCTATCTCTCTGTGCATACACTGCCCTTCTCTTCTCCCATGATTGATTGATCTAAGGAGTGTATCTACCTGATGTAAATGTTCACCCTATGTGTCTGTTGTTTGACTGGAAGCCGTGGGAGTGAGTTTAGTTCCAGACCTGAAAGGGTAGCTAAGGGCCATAGTCTCAAGGGTCTCATCAGGCTCTATCAGACCAGCGAACCTGGTCCTTTTTACACTGAAATCAGGATACATCTTATAATCAGTAGGGGCATTCGGTATGGCAGTCGTTTTATTTCTTTATTTTCTGGTCTCTGAAAATGGCTTACAAGCAGGAAATAAATGTATTAGCTTCCTAGGGCTACTGTACGAAGTACCACAACTTGAGTGGCTTATAAGAACAAATTTATATCAGAGTTCTAGAGGGCTGAGAGTCAGCAGGATTGGTTCTTTCTGGAGGGCTCTGGGAGACAGTCTGCTCCTGCCAGCGATCCTCTTGCATTCCTCGGCTTGTAGGTCTCTCCAGTCTCTGCCTCCACCTTTATGTGGCTCTTTTCCCTCATGTCCGTGTGCCTCTTCTCTTTTATAAGGATGCAACTTATCTTGCTTTATGACCCATGTTATGCTAGTACTCATGGTAACTGATAACCTCTTCCAAGATCTTGTTTCCGAACAAATGGCATTCACAGATACTGGCACTGAGAATGTCAACATCTCTTTTTTTGTGGGGGGGGGGGGTTGATGGGGCACCATTCACTCCACAATAATAAAGTAATGAAGGGAAGGTGGTAAGAGAGCTGAGCCCCTTGGATCGGGACAGACAGGTTTCCCCCTTGGTGCCATGTGTCTTGGTGATACTTTACAACATTGATTGATTTCCATCAAGGCACTGGGCATGGAGAGATGAGGAAGGCTTGTTGCTAACCCTTAAAGGAGCTCACGGTTGAATGCAGGAGACAGACTTGGGTGCAGCAATATACAGGGAGGGACTAAGAGATGAGCCAGGCCCTGAAGGAACCCCAAGAGGAGCAAGCCAGTTTACAGATGGCCCACCCTGCGCTATAGTAAGAATGCTGTCTTCTCTCTCTTGCTTACAATTACATTACTTTCTTCAGTGCTCTTACTGTTCTGTTACTAGGACACAGGCCAGTAGCAGACAGCTTTGCATTCCTCTGTAAATTGATCCCCAGAACGCTTGGGAAAGATCGTATGTTCAATGCCTTCTCCCTCAGTCCTATTTATTGGTAAACCCGAGCCCTCCACCAGGGCTGCCTGGCCAGTACTCTTGGCACGTTAGCTTCTGGAAGTCAGGAGCAGGGGGGCCATGCTCACCTGATGGCTCTGCCGTCCTGTCACAGCTGGAGCTGGCCACAGCCAAGAACGACATGAACCGGCATCTGCATGAGTACATGGAGATGTGTAGCATGAAGCGGGGCCTGGATGTGCAGATGGAGACCTGCCGCCGCCTCATCACCCAGTCTGGAGACCGGTAAGAGCCTCTTCTGGGTGGGCATGCAGGTGGCAGGGCACAGAGCTCCTGGCTGGCCAACCCAGAAGAGCCTGTGGCAGTGACTCAGTCACATCTGGATGTGGGGCTACCCAGAGGGAGTGCCTGGTACATCTAGCCCAGACTGACAGTTGCATGAGAATGTATATCCATCTGTGGCTGGATGGCTGAAACCCTAATGCCACGAACTGTGGTGCTCTGGGGAGGCAGCTTAAAACTGATAGGGAGCAGAAAGGGTGTGGGGGGCCAACTTTTATCTACAGTCAGGGCCCTGATTTGTGCTTTTGGCCCTGTGTCAGTTATACCTTAACCAAAAAGTTTTAAAAAACAACAATGTCACAGTAGCATGCAGACAGAAGTAAAGCTAGAGCCATAGAGCCAGTGCACTTGGCTTGGACAGCATCTCTGGGACTGTGACTTGAGAGATTTCTGACCTCTGAGCTTCTCAGAGTCCCCAAGACAGAGACAGGCCATTTCCCCCACTGGGGTGGGACGGGAGAGGACATTTTGTCTCCTCGACACCTCTCATCCCTCATCTTCCCTCACCCCATGGGCTCCCAGCCCTTGCCTAGTGTGTCATTCACTTAACCTGCCAGAGGATAAGGGCCTGGGGAGAGGAACAGAGAGGAGCATGCAGCCTCCTCAGGATTCCTCCCTGCCCCAAGGTAACAACTGGTGTTTTTTCTAGAAAGTCTCCTGCTTTCACTGCGGTCCCGCTTAGCGACCCGCCGCCACCGCCAAGCGAGGCTGAGGACTCCGATCGCGATGTCTCATCTGATAGCTCCATGAGATAGGGATCTGCCTGTACCTTGGCTCCTTCTGTGGCCCCACTCTTCCAGGGACTCACTGGTGATGGGAGGAGGCTCACAGAAGGGGAATGGCACTTGTCTTACCCCACACTAAGCCTGGCCTTGACTTTCTCCTTGGCACCACCAGGGTTCTGGGGTCTGGAGCTAGGCTTGGCCCTGCCCTTCCCAGGTGATTCTCACTACAGTTGGGAAGGCCCTGCCCTTCCCAGGTGACTTCCACCACCGGCTGCCCAGCCTCCATGTGTGGTGTCTGCTACTTTCCCATCTTTAAAATGCTGCCAGACTGGAACATGGCCCCTTACCTTTTCCTCTGCCTAAGGAATGTGTCAGATCTCCCCTTTACCTGTTACAGGCAGAGGAAACCAGGGCTGGGCAGAACGTCGTGCCAGTGCTTACGGCTGCCAACCTGACGGATGTGGCTGTAACCTTCCTCTGGGAGGTGCCACACATTAAAGGGGCCACAGTGCCCGGGCATAGGTAGCTCCTGAATCTGATTGGTGCAGTATCCTGGAGGGAGACTGAAGCTCTGGCTCGGCTCCCAGTCAGTCAGTGCTGATAAGAGAACACGGTGAAGCTGCTTGTGTGTGCACCTATGCTCTAAGTGCACGTGGTGGGGGTGTGTGCGTGCTCAGGGTCTTGGTGTCTTCATCAGCTGAAGATGTGCCTCCTCCGTGTCTGTCACACGCGAGACCAACTGGCTGAGTAAGATGACCTTCCTGACTTGGAGAAATTGTTTGGGAGATGTGACTGGGAATGATACCTCAGTGTAACTGCCTAGGGAGGCTGTGCTGACATTTGAATGGAATCTTTAATAATAATGAACCTGGCAATTATTTATCATCAAACACTTCTGTGTCACTGTTTCAAGCACTTTCTGGTTTTAGTTCCACAGTCCTTCTGGCCCTGTGCAGTATGCATTATTGTTTCCATCATGTCCCTTCTTATAAATAGGCACGTGCAGTGAGGCAAGGGGCATTCTAAAGAACTTTCCCAAAGTAAAAGTGGCAGAGCCGGGATTTGAGTCCAGGTCAAATCCAAGCCTGTCTTCTTCCCCAGTAAGCCTCTATGCCTTACCCAAGGGCAGGAACAGGCATAAATGTGGACCTCAGCACACTTGTCAGTTCACCTTTCCTCACTGTAGGAGGGCATTAGCCCTACTAGTATTTACCGTGTACTGAGCCTGTTTCCTACATCTTGCCTACTTTAAACCTTCTAAAAAGACCTTAGGTACTGTGAACCATCAGCCTCACTTTGTAGATGAAGTAACTAGGGCAGAAAAGTAAACAGCTCACTGGAGATTTCAATTGTACGTGACAGTTTGAACGCTGGCTGGCAGCCGAAACTACTGCTTCAGAGGTCAGGTGACCCGTTAGTGTCACATGGTCTCTGGGGGGCCAGACCCTAAAGCTCACAATTTTAATATTGCAATTTTATGTGGGGCTGCTAGACAGAACATGGGCAACCTTCAGAGGTGGCCAGGTGAAGGATCATGGTTACATGCTCAGCCAACAGCATGTAACCTGGGCCCTGCCCTCTTAAATGGTTATACTGGGTTCCTGCTCCAGGGTAAACCCAAACAGCTTCTCTTTAGAGGAGCACCAAGGGTGGACAGGCAAGCTGCAAACCTTGGCTTGTGCCTGGTTGGGGCATACCAACTCGGTAGGACAGACAGAACTGCCCTATAGTGTTTACAAGGCTGTGAACACGGAAGCAGACTGCTTCATCTTTCTTCTGTGGAGCAGTGGGTGTTTTAACTGCCAGGCTTTTGGTCAGCAGCTGAATGCTTTCACCACTATGCCACCAGAGCCCCTTTGGTACCCGTAGTAAGAAGTTCACTTTAGCACTAGGCCAACTTCCCTTCCCATGTCACAGATGCTTGGATAACATAAAACCGACAAAAGTGGTTAGGTACAGTGTTCTTTATTGATGGTACACAACAAGGTTGGGCTCTCTAAGCCCTTCCCCTTCTTTAGGGGGTCTGGATGGAAACTATAGAGGATGGGAGATTCTCAGTGTGTTGGGGATGGAGTTGGGGCAAGGACTCCCCAGCAGCCAAGGGTTTCTCTCTTCCTCTAGTGCTAGTGCTGGGGCTGGTGGTCCAGGAGGCTCTTATTCCTTGGAGGCCATGTGGACCATGAGGTCCACCACCCTGTTGCTGTAGCCAAATTCATTATCATACCTGGAAGAACCAAAGTAGGTAAAGGGTATTTTTATGACCTAGCCACCAGAGGGTGCCAGACCCTTAAACACGTTTCTCAAGCATTGTCTCCCACTCCAACCACATACCAGGAAATGAGTTTAACAAAGTGGTCGTTCAGGGCAATGCCAGCCCCAGCATCAAAGGTGGAAGAGTGGGTGTCACTGTTAAAGTCACAGGAGACAACCTGGGAAAAGGGACAGGGCTATGAGTGGGAAGCCAGTGGTGGCGAGTTGGGCCACGTGGAACCAAAGCTCCCTGTCCTCTCTGTACCTGGTCTTCAGTGTAGCCCAGGATGCCCTTTAGGGGACCCTCCGATGCCTGTTTCACCACCTTCTTGATGTCATCATATTTGGCCTAATAAGGTTAAAATGAGATGGTTATTCACCTTCCAACCTCATCACAGCTTTACCAGACAAACCCCCAGCCAACGAAGGCTCAACCCAAACTTACGGCTTTCTCCAAACGGCAGGTCAGGTCCACAACGGACACATTGGGGGTGGGGACACGGAAGGCCATGCCAGTAAGCTTCCTACAGATAGAGGAAGCCAAGTCAGCATCTCTATGTCCTGGCTCTCTCTCTGCCCTCCCTCTCAGTGCCCCAGATCCCAAGGACGGAAAAGCAACAGAGAACCTCACCCATTCAGCTCAGGGATGACCTTGCCCACAGCCTTGGCAGCGCCAGTAGATGCAGGGATGATGTTCTGGGCAGCCCCACGGCCATCACGCCACAGTTTCCCAGAGGGGCCATCCACAGTCTTCTGGGTGGCAGTGATGGCGTGGACCGTGGTCTGGAAACAAGGAGGGAGTGAAGGCCCTGCAGAGGCTTCGTCACACCCCTTAACCTCCCTCCCTCACTTTTAGGAGGAATTAAGGGATTAAGTGACTTGAGCTAACCCCCTGGAGTGCCCAGTGTCCCATGGCCCTGGTTCTCAGGAGAACCCTGCATTAAGAGTTCTGGTCACTGTCCCCATCACTCTCATACCATGAGTCCTTCCACAATGCCAAAGTTGTCATGGATGACCTTGGCCAGGGGGGCCAAGCAGTTGGTGGTGCAGGAGGCATTGCTGCAAAGAGGGAGATGTGTCAGAGAGTATCATGTCCACCTTGTGACACCCAGCACTGCCTAACCAGTCTCTGCCATTCTCACCTGACAATCTTGAGGGATTTGTCATACTTCTCATGGTTCACACCCATCACAAACATGGGGGCATCAGCAGAAGGGGCAGAGATGATTACCCTTTTGGCACCACCCTTCAAGTGAGCCTGTGGTAGAGAAGCAGTTATAAACCCAGGTTCTACCTTTCTAGGTCTCCTCAGCCTCCCTCCCTGCCCCAAGGTAACAACTGGTGTTTTTTCTAGAAAGTCAGCTTCCCCCATTCTTCCTACTGCACTGGAGACCAGGGTCAGTCCCACATCTTTAGCCTTCCTACCACTCACCCCAGCCTTCTCCATGGTTGTGAAAACGCCAGTAGACTCTACAACATATTCAGCACCAGCATCGCCCCACTTGATGTTGGTGGGATCTCGCCTACAAGAGGTAGAGAGGACGAAGTTTGGGGACAGTAGGTACTATGTACTCAAGGTGGTACCCCATCCCAGTACTTCCCCAAAGCAAATTTCTTCCTGTCTTATCTCCCACACTCACTCCTGGAAGATGGTGATGTGCTTCCCATTGATGACAAGCTTCCCATTCTCAGCCTTGACGGTACCATGGAACTTGCCATGGGTAGAATCATACTGGAACATGTAGACCTGGGAACAAGTGAAGGCATCAAGGGGCCTGCCCCTCAGCCAGGTTCTGGCCCTCCCACCGACTGCAGGGGCAGCACTCACCATGTAGTTGAGGTCAATGAAGGGGTCATTGATGGCAACAACATCTACTTTGCCAGAGTTAAAAGCAGCCCTGGTGACCAGGCGCCCAATACGGCCAAATCTGAAATTAATAAATGAGAAGGCACAAGGAGTAGAATTTCCCTGGGTAGGTAAACAGATCTAGTCCTACTCATCTACTTAAAGAGGGTGGTGGTATGTGTCGTCGAGTCAGACCAGACTCATAGCAACCCTTCCTTGGGTTTGAGGTAGTATCACTAGGGAAGTAGATTGCCCCATCTTCCTACCAGGAGTGGCTGGTGGGTTTGAACCGCCAACCTTCTGGTTAACAGTCAAGTGCCTTAGGCACTATGCTACCAGAGCTCCCTAAAAGAGAGGGGCCTGGGAGCTGCTGGTAGGTTTGAACCGCCAGCCTTGGGTGTGGCAGGTGACTGCCTGAGGCCATCCACTAGGGCCCTTAAAGAGGGTGGTGGTGGTGGTGTTATGTGCCCTGACTCATAGCGACCCCTCCTTGGGTTTCCGAGGCAGTATCACTACGGAAGTAGACTGCCCCATCTTCATTCCGAGGAGTGGCTGGTGGGTTTGAACCACCAGCCTTCTGGTTAGCAGTCAAGTGCCTCAGCCACTATACTACCAGAGCTCCCTTAAAGAGGGTAGAACATGGTAATTTGCTATCTCCAGAAAGTTCTAAGAGGTCTGGATTTATCTTCTTCAGGAACCCTGCCAGGCTAGCCTGGCCATAAAGTGAAAGCCCCACTCTGTTCAAGAGATGACTAGGCTCAAAGGCTTGCCCAACCCCTCCAACCATCAGAAGTCCTTTAAGGAAGAAGTGGTGGTGTAGGGCACTGCTGCCGCCACCCAAAATCTGGGCACATGCTTGGCACATGGCATCCACCACTCCCACTGTCTGTGCCCTGGGAATGCTTATTCTTGCCTGGCCCAGCTTCAGGCCACACCCTCCAGGGAGAAAATACTTGTGTACTCAGCATCACCAAGCTCAAAGGGCAGGAGTAAAGGTTAGGCATCAACTGGACAGGGTGAGCCCACCCCTTCTCTCAATCGCTAACAAAGGCTAAGAGGCTGAGAAAGCAATTGCCTTTCAGCCTCCTAACTCTGGGGCTCTAATTAGCTAAGTTACCGTTCTCTTTTCCAAAAATCAGGAGTAGTAGCAACAGATGTGTGTGTGTGTGTGTGTGTGTGTGAATGGAGAGAAGAGATCAGGCCCACGGCTACAGAAAGGTCAGGAAGCTATATTTAACCTCAGATTAGGCTGGAGTGGGGAGATCTGGTTTCTAGAAGATAAAATGAAGAGAAGGGCAAGATTCCCAAGACCTACAGACACCTAATCCTCCCAGTGACCTTTCCAGTGCTGGCCTTTAGGGTTGGGTCAAGCCTAGGCATGGATGAGAAGCTGTGAGATGAGGGTGAGTCAGTGGAAGGGAAGAGGATTCTGCTACAGGAGCCATTTTATGCAGCAATTTTTTCTAACTGCTCATGACTCAGCTCGCCCAGCTTCGCACTGAGCTACAGCTACCATCTCTCTCTCCAAACAAGACGAAGCCCCACAAACCTAGGAAAAGCATCATCTCTGGGGGAAAAATTTGGCTGGGGCCTAAAGGATGGTTTTGAGTCAATATAGTCAGAAGATTTAGTTCCATGATCCAAGTTTTCTGAGAGGAAAAAAGGCAAGGTGGTTCACTGGATAAAGGAGACTCCACCCACCGAGGCGAAAGTAGGAAGGAGGGTTAGTCACAGGCAAGGAAGGAGAAAGAGCTAAGGGCGGTTTCCTAACGGTGGTTCATTCATTTCCTCCCCAGTTGCAACACGGAGGTGGGTGGGCTACCGCAAAAAAAAAAAAAAAAAAAAAAAACACGAAACCTCCCCGCGGGCTAGGCACCCCGCGGTGCATTTTGCATCCAGAGCTGTGTGTGGTAGGAAGTAGGCTGGTGGAGGAGGGGGCGCCTCCTCGGGCACGTGACCCCGCCGCAGGGCGCGAAAGGAAAGAAAGGAGTTCCACTTGGGGGATTACGGGGTTGGATCCAAAGCAAGAACTGGGGACTCTCCAGTTTATTTGCAGCGGTGGAGTGGAAGGCTCCAGAAAGCTCGTCTCCGTAGGGGCGGAGCTACATGGAGTGGTGGGGGGCACAGCAGGGCCCTCACCTTGAGTTCTCCTTGAGGTGGGTGACAAAATCACCTCACCTCCCCACAAGGTTGTAAGAGACCTGCTGACGCAACTGGGTGGGAGCTGACCGCAGACCTTCGATTAAGAACTCTGCCCCACCCTAACCCAACCTACCCCCTAACTCACCCGTTTACTCCGACCTTCACCATCCTGTCTCACCGAAGCGGCTGCAGAAGAAGATGAAAATAGATGAGTACCCGAGCACCGGTGCACATCAGCCCCACACCTCTGCCTCCGCCCCCGCCCCCACCATCGCCTCCATTCCCACACTGCACTGCATCACGTCCTCCCACCCCTGCAATGCGGAGACCAGAACCCGGCACGACAGAGACTCCGCAGCAGCCCAGCCAAGCTCCCGGCTCGCGCACGCCCGGTGTCTTCCCCTTTCCGTTTTGGAACCATCGACTAGCCTTTTGTTACCCTGCTTTCTTCTTATTTTTTTTTTTTACCTGGGACTGCACAAGAGGGTGCGGCCGTCTGTCGAAACGGCAGGAGCAGAGAGCAACTGGGAAGGCTGCTGCCTCAATTTATAGAGGGGGGGGGGGAGGAGGCTGAGCTACAGATGCTGGCCCCGCCTCCCGCCCAGCTCTCCCAGTCCTAGCTCAAGGGCGCTGAAGCCTGAGCTACGTGCGGCCGTAAAACTGCAAGTAGCGGGGCCATTTTTTTTCCTCCCCGGCCTTCCTTGCTCTTCAAATGCGCACGTACCGAGCGTGTGGGCTCCAGGTTGGAGAGGGGGAGGGGACTGAGGTAGGTCTGATGGGGCCGGCAATCGGTGATGGAGCCCAAGGCCAGGTTGTGGGATTGTAGTTCAAGGATGGCGCCCCTGATGAGAACTGAGGATATAGAAGAGTTCCACCACCCACTGCAATCTAGTCAATTCCGACTCATAGAGATCCTATAGGACAGAGCAGAACTGTTCCATAGGCTTCGCAAGGCTGCACATCTTTACGGAAGCAGACAGCCTCATCTTTCTCCCACAGAGCGCCTGGTGGGTTCAAACCAACAACCTTTTGGTTAGCAGCCGACTGCCTTAACCACTGAGCAACCAGAGTTCCTATCAGGGAGCCATGGACGTTATAGTTGCTGTACGGATTAAACGAGAGAACATTGGGAGCGTGGGATGGAGATTTGGAGTAGGAACCCAGGACGGCTAGTGGCAGCACTCTGCCACTTTCTCCTATTTTCAAAGGCAGAGAGGCGGGAAAGCCTAGGGACCTCTCCTCGAGACTCTTCGGTAGTGACAAAGGAACCGCTGAGGAAGAGGCCCGGGAGGGGCCTTGCCTGCTCCTGCGGAGCTGTTCCCAGCCCCGGCTTTCCCCTCCGCATCTGGCTCCGGGCCTGTCTGGGCCAGGGGCCTGGGCTGGGCTCTGGGCAGTGGGCCCTGTAGAGGAAGGAGGCTTAACAGAGGGCTTGAGGGGGAAGTTTCTGCACTGAAGGTCACCGTGTCCTGCAGCTTGGAGGCCTGATAACTGGGGCAGACAAACCAGGCCCTGTGTGCACCGGCTGTTCCCCTCCCAGTCCCGGGATGTGGCCTCAGGGGAACTGGGCCTCGCACAAAGTGGGAACGTGAGGGCAGTGCCGCCCAGGCTGGGAGACAGTGCCCCTCTGACTCCTTCCAGCCTAGAGCTGAGAGTGGGACGTGAGGGCGGAAGTCCCTCCCCACCTTGGGACGTGCAGGCGAGCCTGGGAGCCAGGGACTCGCCTTCACTGGTGCAAGCCCGGAGGGTGTTGGGGGCAGGGTGGAGTCCAGAAGAAGGAAAAATAGGGGGAAGAGGGTCTTGGGCATCTGGTGGGAGCGGTTCATACTCACACCACACACTGGAGGGAAAGGAAAGGGGGCTGGGGTTCTGAGCACTTGGAAGCAAAGAGGGCTCTGAGTGGGTGGGGGAATGGACACGACCCATCAGCAGGTGCAGAAGATGGGGATCCAGGGGCCTCTTTGCTGGCTCAGTGTAACCTAAGATCAGCCCCCTGCCCTTTTAGCTGAAAGCTTGTGGCTAAGTTTAGCAGACCTTGGCTTAAAAGGCAGGGAGCACGCTGTGCCTCGCACCCCCACTCCAGCTCTTGTCCCTCCCTCTCTGGGACTGCCCTCCCTCCTGGGGCCCCAGAGCCAAGGCTGTGGCCATGCCTGGCAGCCATCTGCATGGTTGATGCCAGGCTATTCAGGAAGTACTAAGGGGTGGGGGGCGGAGGGAAAGGAGGGCACCTGATGATGAGAGGGGGTGGATACAGAGGGAGCTTTCTAAATCTTGAGTCTTCCGGAAGGAAGGGGGTGCTTGCACAGGCGGAGTAAGTTCCATTCCTGCTGAGGCTTGATCAAGTCCATTGCCCTTTCCTCATCAAGAGCCTTAGAGCCCTTCCATGCTCCTGCACTACCTAAGTAAGTCAGGATTCTGAGGCACCATCTTCCCCTTTGCCTCAAGCTCATCAGTCTTCAGCCAAAAAAAAAAAAGAAAAAGAAAAAGCTCAGCGCCCAAAAAATACTGACGTAGGCTGTTGTCATGACAGCAGAGCCACCAGTGTCTTCATGACAACAGACTCACTGCCTCCTATTCCAGGTGACTCAGCAGAGACCAAGCTTGAGGTGTTTAACAGAGTAGGACAGGTTTGGGGGGAGGTATGCTTAGCAGCATGGCCAGGACTCGGGGGAGCTTGACCTTGTGCAGATCTTCCATCTAGTGAGGAATCCCTCCTAGTAGACAGAGCTGAAGGGGATCATAACCTGATCTTCTATCAGCCCAGCCAGGTCACTCACCCAAATTCAGATGGGATTAAGGAACACAGTGAGGGTGGGTGGGGACAGCAGGGCAGAGAGCAAATTAGCCTTTGCTGTAGAGCAGGGTTTCTGGCACAGACTGTTGTGGGGGGCTGTCCTGTGCACTGCACAATGTTTACCAGATTCCCTGGCCTCTACCCACTACCTGCTAGTAGCAGCCCCATCCCAAATGTACAAAAAATATCTCCAGACACTGTCAATGTCCCGAGGGGATAAAAGTGCAGCCAGATTGAGAACCGTTGATCTGGAGTGTAGACAGTGGCACAATTCTCCACAGTGGAGCAATCTTGTCACATGTGCAGAATGAGGAGGCTGAGAAGGGAAAGATGAAGGCTAAAATAGCATGAAGCTTGTCAGATCTTGAGACAGGCCCCAGGACCCCTGGACCTACCCTCTTTCTGGATTGACAACTAGAGTGAAAGATGAAACAAAGACAAGCCTAGGAAAAATATCTAAAAGTATATAAACTCTTATCCAGTGTTGGGATTGTAAAATGGTATAACCACTATGAAAACAGTATATGGCACTTCCTCAGAAAACTAGAAATAGAATAGAATAGAAATTACCTTATGACCCAGCAGTCTCACTCCCAGGTATATACCCAGACATCTAATAAAAGACATGAACAGACATTTCCATCCCTATGTCCACTGCAGCATTATTCACAATAGCAAAATGATGGAAACAAACCAAGTGCCCATCAACAGAGGACTAAATAAACAAAACGTGGTGCATACCTACAATGGAAAACTATGCAGCCAAATAAAGAATGATGATGAGTTCTCAAAACATGTAACATGGATCAATTTGGAGGACATTATGTGAAGTAAAATAAGCCAATCATCAAAGGACAAATATTGTATGATTGCGCTTTTTATGTGAAGACAAGAATAGGTATATGTACAGAGATTAATGTTTATTGGTGGCAACTAGGGATGGGGAGGAGGAGGAGTGAGAATCACTCTAGATAGCAGACACTTATTTTAGGTGATGGGAAAGGTAGCACTGAATGTGGATGAAGTATGCACAGCTTGACCAGGGTAAAGGTTGCCACTAAGAAACACACAAGAAAACGTTATTTTTGGTAAAGGTAAGATTATATATCATCAACAACAAAAAATGTATGTGGTTATTTATATATGTATATATGCATATGGGAGCTCTGGTGGCATGTGCCTGAGGCATTTGACTGCTAACCAGAAGGCTGGAGATTCAAACCCACCAGTCACTCCTAGGAAGGAAGATGGGGCAATCTACTTCCACGGCGATACTGCCTCGGAAACTCAAAGAGGAGTCACTATGAGTTCAATCAACTCGATGGCAGTGAGTTTGGTTTTTTTTGTTATATATACATTTATATATATATATATATATACACACACACACACACACACACACATACACACACACACACACATATATATGGGTTTAGATATGTGTGTATATATATACACATAGAATAAACAATTATATATGTATATCTATGCAGGCATGTATGTGGATGCATATATATTCATATATATATATATAATAAAACACAGAGGCAGTTACAGAAACTTCTTAAGGCATCTAAGTACACACCTTACAAATTTGGTTGGAAGGCTTAGGACCATAGTCTTGGGGTGAGGGATAACTTGGTCAATTGGCATAATATAGTTCATAAAGTTTATGATCTATATTTTAGTTTGATGACTAGTGTCTGAGGTCTTAGATGCTTGCAAGCAGTCATCTAAAATAACAACTGGTTTCTACTCATCCAGAGCAAAAGAGAAAGGAAACCAAAGTCTCAGAGAAGCTAGTCTACAGGTCTAATAGTCCACATGAACCACAGCCTCATCTACCCTGAGACCAGAATAAACTAGATGGTACCTGGCTACTGTCAGTCACTACAAACATTCTGATCAGAACCATTAATAGATGGACCCTGAAAGAATGGAAGAAAAATGTAGAACAGAACTTAAATTCTTAAAAAGTCCAGACTTACTGGGCCCACTGAAGCTGGAGAAGGACCCCAGACTATTGTCCCAAGATATTCTTTAAACCTCAAACTGAAACGTTTTAGCTAATAACAGAGTGGCTCATAAAAGAAATGCACTCTTCGAGTATTAAGTTCCTGTAAAAAATAATCTGTATGAGACCAAATGGTCAATAATTACTCTAAAGCAAAGATGAGAAGGTAATGAGGGTAGGAAAACTAGATCACTGGAAACAAACAGAATGACTGACACACTGTGAAAAATGTAACCAATGTCACAGAGTAATTTGTGTAGAAATTGTTAAATGGGAACCTAATTTGCTGTGTAAACTCTCACTGAAAACGTAAAATATTATTTTAGAAAATAAATAAAAGTACATAAAAACATTTATTCATTAGAAAACAAGGAGAATGGCAAACATAATACTCCAAAGTGAAAGCAGCTTACTACAGTTCAGTCAGGCTAGTTTAAGAGAAATGTCTTCCGTTATAAAGATCATTTACGTATTAAAAAACAAAGAGACAGGCAAACAAATATTTTACAAGGAGGAAAGGATTTGGGCAGCCCCAGAGGACCCCTGCACAGCAGGGATGGGAACAGGCAAGATGACCTCTTAGGACCTGTGTCTGCGAGCAGATGCTCGGCGAATGGGGGTCGTTTTCTTGGGTGTCTCATCTTCTGTCATCTCTGCTGAAAGCTCTATGGAAAGAATTAGGGGAGAAAAGAAGAAGGTAAATTACAAAGATGGTTAAAAATAGATGTCAGAGAACAAATGGGACAGCCTCAGAACAAACTAAAGAAATAAAACCCAACTGCTCTGGAGGAAAACAACCATGGGCAGTGGCTGGAGAGAAACTATCCTCATCCAGAGCCCCCACAGTGGGACTTGATCAAAGCAGCCTCACCCCCATCTGTGTTCCTTCATACTCCTCACCTTCCTCACTGGACTCATCACTTGAGAAGACAATTTTGGGTTTCTTTTTAGAAACTCGCTGCTGGGTGTTTGGATGATGATGGGCAGTACGGCGGGGCTCAGGTGTCACAAAGTCATTGTCCAAGGCAGCAGAAGCCAGGTGCTGGTGCCTGGAGACTAAACAGGGAGACAGGAGTCAGGAAAAAAAAAGGGCAATATCAGAATGCAGACCCTGGGTCTTGCCACCATGGGGCTGCCTCACACACCAGCAGATTGTTTCTTGGCGGCTGATGGTGCTCTCTGGGTCCCAGCCTGGCCAATCTCAAGCTCCTCTACTGCATCCAACCCTCTAGTGTGACAGGCCTGAAGCTTCTGCTCAAATTCATCTATTATAGCCTGGAGGGAAAAGGGAGATCAAAAGCAACTTAGAAAAACAGTTATCTCTATGATGAAAAAGAAACAGGAATTAGAGACAGAAAGATCTGTCCCAGGTCACTCCGGTAACTTGGTTGCAATCAAGCTGGGGACAAGAAAGTCAGTAAGCAGGTGCCTCAGATCAATGCTTAGGGAGAATGGGCTGCTCACCTTGCCCTCGGGCTTGGCCCCACGCCGAAGCTTGCCCACAACTAACAAAAAAGCATTAAAGATGGCCGAATCTGACAGCTTATCAGCAAAGCAATCAAAATTGTCAAGCATCTTTCGCAGGCCTCGCTCTGTGAAGGGCAGCTGGGACACACAGTAGGCCAGGTCCCGGTACTGCCTCTCGGTTCTGCAGATGAGAAAGCTTTGTGAGGAGCAGGGACTCCCAGGGAGTAAAGGCCCATCCTACCTCCTCAGTCTCCCACAGTCCAGGGGGGATGCCACTTCAGGGAGTGGGGTTAGGGGTAGGGGTGGTGTCTCTTTCCCCCTCAGGGCCCTCCACACCACAAAGATCTCAGGGTGGGCAACTTACCGGGCTGTGCGGAAGCGCTGACACAGCTTCTCCACCAGGCTCTCAGTCTGCTTATCCTTAGTGATGTAGGAGAGGAGCTGCCTGCAGAAGGGAGAGCAGAAGGTGTGACTACTCAAGGGGAGCTGATCCTCATTCATTCAGACCGACCTGTACCCTCACCTAACACCACTTAAGAATCTTCTATGCCATGGCCTCTGCCTGTATCCCCACTCCTATTGCCCTCATTCATACCCCAGAGAAAGGTCCATGCCCCCCACTCCCAAGTAATTTCCACTGTTAATGTGCCCTAAGGCCCAGAGAACCGCACTTCATAATGGTGTGGAAAGGCTCTTCCTCCACCCCACCCTCAGGGTCTGATAGGCGACTGATGACATCTGGAAGGAGATTATAGATTGCATTTCCCTGGAAGAGAAAGAGTCTTGTTAAAGAGATGAGGTCACCTACATATTCCTTCTGCAGCAAACCCTAAACTGCCTTTTTGCCTCTTCACCTTGTGGGAAAGCTCATTGAAGAAGTTCTTGGCCAGGGCCGCGATCTGAGGCTCAGGGTCGATGAGCAGCACCGCCATCTCGCTCACCTGACCCTTTACCTTCACCATGTCCTTCAGGATAAGGTGGGTCATCACCAGCCCTGCTGTTTTCCGCACTTGCTGAGCTGGGTCTCGGAGGCTAGGAAAGAAATCTCAAGTTATTGGGACCAAGACCTGTGGGATACACCCTAACAGCTGGCAGGAAAGACCCACACCCAGGAAACTATGAACCCATACTGTACCATTCGAGAAACAGAAAGCTAGCTAGAGTTGAAAGCTGGAGTTTGGGGAAAGAGGCAAAACTTACAGCCAGGACTTTATTTAGACAGAGAGTTAATCCCTTTAGGGTCATAGTCAGCCAGAGACCTGTACAGGTCAAGTGTTAAACAGATTTTCAAGGAAACACCAAAGACTAGAATAGCGACCCCATTGGGTTTCTGAGGCTATAAATCTTTACGGAAGTATATTGCTCAGTCTTCTTTTCGTGGAGCAGCTGGTGGGTTTGAACCGCTGATCTTCCAGGTAGCAGTCAAGTCTCTTACCCACTATGCCACCAGAGCTCCTGGAGAATAGTTTTAGTGATTCTCATATTGACTTAATTAAAGACTCCCAGAGCTCTCAGGGATCTCTTACCGAGCATACAGATTAGGAGTCCAGGGGTCCACCAGGTTGGGGAAACGGATGGCCAGATCTCCAGTGACAATCATGAGGTTAGACCGGACAACAGGAAGTGAGGACTTTTCCAGCATGGTGAACAGAAGCCGAAGCTGGGAATCACAGAAAGTGGCACTAGGGACAAGGAGAGGGTCATCAGGGAAACCATATCCTCTCCATCCTCTCTGAGAAGGCATGCCAAACCAAGGGCCTACCTGATCATGCAGAACTTGCCAAGGGCAAGTGAAGCAGCTGCAGAGAGGTCGGGGTTGCTATAGAGACCAGGGTTGTTGCAAACTTTGAGCAGAAGTGGAACAATGGCGGCTAGAACCTGTTTGCCTATTGGAGTAACAACTCTGGGTTTGTGGTAGGTTATTTTCGGGTAAGGAGAAGCTCACACAGCAATTTTTCTTACCATCCAACAGTTCCATCTCACAGATGCTACGGATTATTTCTGCTTCTGTGTCATCAGCAGTAGCCCCAACCAGCCCCAATTCCTCCTCCATGGTGGTCTCAGAGCTTGTATTCTAAAGGTAAAGAGTGGGGAATCATGGGTGAGCAAAGACATTATTTCTGAATCCATTCCATTTTGCCCAGCATGAATAGATTTGGCTAAAGACAAATTCTGCAAAACCATTCATAGAAATGCTAAATGTGTCTATAAAGAGAAAGGATTCCTGAATTAAACGGGAAGAACTCCAAAGCAAACTGTGGTGCAGTGAATTACTTGGTATGGCTTTTTTAACCACAGTCTTTGTAACTCCCACCATGTTACTGGGTGGGACCACGCAAATAAGGTGTGTACAGAAGCAGACTGCCCTCATCTTTCTTCCACAGAGAAGCTAGTAGGTTCAAACCACCAACCTTCTGGTTAGCAGCCAAACGCCTTATCCATTATACTAGCAGAACTCCTTTGGGGGGGGGGGGGGGGGAATTAGGTCCCATATATATATTTTTTAATTTTGATTTGCATGGAAGTTTACAGAACAAATTCATTTTCCACACAACAGTTCATACACATTTTGCTTCATGACACTGACTGCAATCCCCATAATGTAACAGATCTCTTCCCACTTCCTCCCTGTAGTTACCTTTCTCCTGTGCTCTTCTTTCCTACACATTCCTGCTCACTGAACTGTCTCCCTGTACAAACGCTATCCTTCTGATCTCCCATGGTTCACTGTTCCAAGGCGTGTAACTACCTGGTGTAAATGTTCACCTTATGCACCTGTCTATTGTTTGGTTGTAGGGTTCTCTGGTGGCATAGTCCCTAAGGCATTTGACTACTAACCAGAAGGCTGACAGTTCAAACCCACCAGCCACTCCTCAGAAGGAAGGCTGGGCAATCTACTTTGTAGAGATACTGCCTCAGAAACCCAAGGAGGGGTCGCTATGAGTCGGATCTGACTCGACGGCAGTGTTTGGTTTTGGTTTGTTTGGCTGAAACCATGGGAATGAGTTCAATTCCAGGCCTGAAGGGTAACTAGGGGCCATAGTCCTGGGGGTTTCACTAGTCTCTATCAGACCAGTAAGCCTGGTATTTTCCCCCTGGATTTGTTTTTAGATTGCCAAAGTATGTTTCTACATTTCTATTTAATTCATTCTCATAGAAAATACGTAACTTTCTATATGCCAGACAGTGGTTCGAGCTCACAGAGAAGGTTAGACATCCCACTCTGCAAGGCTCTGTGCTTCATCTGTCTTCAAGACATCACTGTCTCTAGAGGAGAACATACAAGGTTCCTATCAGGTGCCAGGCCCAGTAACCAAGGTTGATGAGTTAGGAAGGCTGGTGCACGTGTTTTTTTTTTTTTTTCCAAACAAACACTGCCTGGGATAGAGCCTCTATTTTATGCTGAGGTTTTTAACTTGATACTCCGTATTTACCTAAAACTTTCCCTCCTGGGTGAACATGGACAGAACGTTCTGTCTTTGTTGGCACTAATCTTTCCCCAGTTAGTAGCAGCAAAGAAGAGACAGAGATTTTTCACTCTCTTTAAGACAAGCTGAGATTCCCCACAAGGAATGTGACTCAAGACAAATGTGGGAAATACTTGGTACATGAACCCAAATGACCAGGTGCTCCACTCACCTTCTCCTTCGGACCTTTAGTCTTGTGCTCCTGTTCTTCCCGAAGAACTCGGCGCCGACACAGCTCTCCACTCACAGCCTGCTCCAAGTGGACCAGCTGCTGCAGAGCCACGTCCCCACCCAACGACAGCAGGTTCATCAGCAGGTAAGTGGGGAGCATGGGGGTTTCCTCTGGAGGAGGCAGAGAGGGAAGGCAGGGAGAAAAAGACGTAAGCAAGTCTTGTGGGCTCCTGAATCCTGTTATTCATCTTCTCCTTGCTCATGTACTACTCAAACTAGTGCAGAAGCAAGAGAGAGGGGTAGGGGTGGGGGTAGGGAGCTGGTGGTATTAATTAGCCCAATTTCAGTGACAAAAAAGTCGAAGTCCTTTCTGTTTTTTCTTGGCAAACAAGAGTGTGGGGTGAGGGAGTTAGGAGTTATTGTAGAAAGTGGTGGTGGTAGTGGCTTCTGGCCCAGCAGGAAAAATGGCCAAACTGGCTGCCCCCTATAGGGCCCATTACCCCTCTTGCCCTACTTACTCGGGTCCTCCTGGGAGGGGCTTTTCTCCTCCAGCTTCTCCAGGGCCTGTTTTGCACAGCCCTGCAATATCTGGGCACAGATCACCTCGGGACCCTCTGCCAGCTGGTAGATAAGGGTCACTGCCACCTCTTTGAATGGGATCCAGAATGGGTCTGGATGGACAAAGCCTGTACAGAAGAAGGGAGAAGTTACCTACTGAAGAGAAAGGACCTGATTCTGCCCAAGGCCTTTCTTGACAGCTCACCTTTTGTGACCACCTCCTGCAGTCGATCAAACAACCTGTGGTCCTGAGACAGTCGGAAGGGAGGGTGACGTTTTCCCAGAGAGGGCTGTAGAGAATGAGAAAGACAGACAGGGTGCGGATGTGTGTAGAAGGTAGATAAGAGGATCTCCATTTTCCTTAGCGTGGACATAATCACCCACATACCTTTCTCCTGTCAGAGATGTTGGCAATTGCATGGCACACCTGTTGGGCCAGCCGGTAGTCCTGTGGAAACTTGTCATCCAGCCCTATGCTTACCAGTGTGTCTAAGTTGCTTCCCACAATTTCTGGTTTCCCTCTATAAGAAAGAGGACATCGAGTTAAAGCCAGTTATAGAACCAAAAGACAGGACTCTGGGTGGGGGACAATTTTATTTACCTATTTACTTTTATTTTTGCAGTGCTTCCTCCCCTCCCCTCCCTGGTAACCAACAAAGAAAGTTACCTCCCATATATAAACCTTTCCTTTCTTTCTCTTCTGTGATTGACTCAGTTCACTCAGCATAATGGTGGGGGACAATTTTAATGTGAGTAGGTACCAGCACCCAATGTAGGGTTTCTAGAGCCTCACAATACTACAGTGAGTCTGTGAACAGGGCCAGCTCATCTGAAGCCCTTCTACCAAATCTTGCTATTTCTACTCGAGGAGAGGGGGCTGGTACTTTTATTTTATTTTCTATTTAAGTAGCAAACTCAGCTGGGCCACACAGATCTCAGCTGGGCCTGAGCTGCCATTATTGAAGGAAAGGGAAGCTTCCCAGAACTCCCTTTCCTCTCCTGTCCTTCTGCTTGTCCAGATCTGAGCCTCACCGTGCCATCATCCCCAGAAGCATCACAGAGGAGCAGCGCTCCAGAGGAGAGCAGGGGACCTTCTCAGTTGCCCGCTCCCACAGCAGCTGGGTCACTGCTGGTTTCAATTCATCTTTCCGCACAAACTCACAGAGCTGAAGAGAAAAGCAAAGAGCTCAGGCCAATTTTAATTTCAAAACCAGTAATTCGTCCTATTCTTGGCCTACCTCTCTGAAGAAAACTTTGAGAACCTGAAGTAGATAAAATAAATACTTAGGAATGGAAAAGGAGAAACGAGGCACAAAATGTAACCAAAACCAAACCAAACTCACTGCCATTGAGTTGAATCTGACTCATAGCGACCCCTCCTTGGGTTTCCAAGGCAGTATCACTACGGAAGTAGATTGCCCAGTCTTCCTTCCGAGGAGTGACTAGTGGGTTTGAACCACCAGCCTTCTGGTTAGCAGTCAAATGCCTTAGGCACTATGCCACCAGAGCTCCTTTAAAATAGGGGTTTAAAACAAAATGCAACACACTGCCGTGGAGTTGGAGTGACCCCTCCTTGGATTTCTGAGGCAGTATCATTACGGAAGTAGATTGCCCAACCTTCCTCCCAAGGAGTGGCTGGTGGGTTTGAACCGCCAGCCTTTCTCTCCATTATCTACTACTTTTCTTCTTTCATGCCTTCAAAACTACTTCTATTAAGATGACACAAGGAGATTGGATCTCCATTGGATCTATTGTTCTGACTACATCCTAGATATTTTTAGTTTTTCTTGTTGTTACTACAACTAAAATGTCTAAAATGGAAGCTTATCAGTCTTCCCTTCCTCTTCATTTTGCCAATGGTACCAACTTAAGTCACATATGCTTCAAACTTTAGTCACCTAATTTTTTTTGAACCAGTCATTTAATCCTGTATTCTTCCTTTAAAATAAATGTGTCTTCCATCAAACCCAATGCTATAAAAATCCCCTATCCCCCAGAGTCTATCCCCTTGTCACTGCACACCTACAGCATCTTGCAGTGACCAGCTTGTCCCTAACCTCTTGTCTCCACCCATCTGGTGTGCTATTGCTGGATCGGTCTCCCCAAGGATCTACTGCATCAGATCAGACCTCTGCTTGTCATTTTGAAATCACTCTCCTTTGCCCAGTATAGGTGTCCCCAACCAGTAGCTAGTCTATGAGATCTGAGGCCACTTGTCACCACTAGGCCCTTTTCTTCTCTCCAGCGAGGAGAAAAATGTGGCTGGCAGTAGTGCTCCTCCCAGCACCATCTCTACCTTTTGTCTCACAATCCAAATGCATCAAAGCACTTGTCTTGTGACAATGCTGGGGTCCCTGACTAATAAGGTTAAAGTCTTAGAGTCTTGAAGGCATTTAGTGATCTTTACAATTTAGTTCCAACCTACACTGACAACTTTGTTATCGTTTCCAGATAACAATCCTGAGCCAGAACATGATTTTGTGCGTTCCCCAATGTGGGTAATGCTCTTTCTTGGCTTTCTGTCTGGAATGCTCTCCTTTCTTTTTCCAAATCTTACTCACCCTTTGAAATCCAACTTATGTCCTACATCTTCAGAAGTTTTCCTTGATCATCCCACCTCACTCTCTCTTCCCTACTCGGTACTGCTCAGTAGAGCACAGAAATTAAAAGTGTTTTGTGGAGCATTTATTGCCTGAGTTTGAACCCCAACTTTACCACTAATTAGCTGTCACGAAGAAAGCTTCTTAACTTCTCTGTGCCTCAGCTTTCTCACTGTAAAATGGAAAATAATACTACTTTCTAGGGTTGTTGTGAGGATTAAACAAGTAGATATTTGTAAAGTGCTAAGAATAGTGCCTGTCATACATTAAATGCCATTTTAAGTGTTAACCACTATATTCTCACTACTGCTGCTACAAGCATTACCTGTGCCACTTATTCTGACATTGAATTATACATCTGCTGCATCATCCTTTAAATGTGCTGTGTTTTTTGACTACTAACTAGACTGCTGATTACTTTAAAGTTGGGTACTTGAAATCAAATAGTCTTATCTATCTTCATGGGGCTAAGTAAAGTGCTGGACACACAGTAGTCACTAATATTTGTTAAATGAACAAAGAGGAAACGAGAAGACTTACAATTTCCTCAAGACACTGAATAGTCCCAACTGAGACATCCACTAGCAGCAAAGAGAGATTCTGGATCAATGTCTGGGCCTTGGCTCTGTGGGAACAGCAGAGATCAGGGTTATTAACACATTCCCCAGCTCTCCCACCTTTCACAGCATTCCAGGAAGCTAGAGATGGACTGATAAAGACTGTAAGTTGAACTTGGCAAAAAGATAATTAGACTATCCCACCAGCGTGAAATAACTGCGTAAGATGGGCATCATTGGAAGTTCAGCTCTACCCTATGCCCCATTACAGGCCTACTGCCTACAGATTCCACCTCCTCTAGAAGGATGCCTTCCCTCTTTCAGAAGACTAGAAAGTCCTGAGAGAAAGTGACCTCAAAAAAGTCAGCAAAGGCAAAAGTACCCCATATACCTGGCAGAATCTCCTTTGGGATTGAGGTAGAGTTGGCGGTAGGCATTGAGCACAGCTTCCCGGACACCAGGCTCCTTAGACCAGATGAGAGGCAGCATGCGGCGTACCCCCACCAGGGCCTGAGGTACCCCAAAGTGAGACACCATCACAAAGAATTCAATCACCTCCTGCACCACTAAGAGGACAGACACAAACATCATCCATTTGCTTAGTAAAACTCCCCCAAAACCTAAAACCAGAACTTCTTTATAATGCAGCAACATTCAAGTGAAGCCCTTCCTCAATTTCCTTAAAAACGCTGACTACTACCACTCACTGCAGTTGAGTCAATTCCAATTCATAGTGACCCTATAAGACAAAGTAGAACTGCCCCATTTTTCTCCTGCAGAGTGGTTGGTGGGTTTGAACCGCTGATCTTTTGGTTAGCAGCTGAATGCTTTAACTACTGCATCACCAGAGCTCCTTTGAAAATGTTGACTCCTCCTACATAAGACCTTATCATAAAATACTATATGTATTAAGACACAAAGTGCCATGAGCTATACAAAGCAAACAAAAAAAAAGCATCCCTGTCTTCTAAAGGTGCAGACAAATATCAGTAAAATATGGACAGGGCTGCTTTTGCCAACCCCAAGACCCAATCATTACAGGATATCCTGACAAACCTGTAGTTGTGTTTTCATACATCATCTTGCTGATGATGCCAATGGCCTCTGTAATCTTCAGAGAGAAGTTGTAGGCATCCTTCAGATACTGCACCAGCATCTCCTGCTTCACCAGTTCATCTTTTTCCCTGGATTTCTCAGGCTCTAACCTATTGAGCTTGTCCTTACAGATAGTCTGTTCTGGGCCCATGTTCCCTGCAGACCCCTGAGGATTCTTCTCCTGTGTAGAAGCTGCTGTGCCTAGGAGTTAGAGAATTACAGGATGGTTTTCGTTCAAGGATGTATGAGGGAATGTTAAACTACAAACATAGTAAGAAGGTAAGAAATTAGAACCTATTTCAAAATCTCTCAGTCTATTTCTCAACAAAGATTCCTAAAGATCTCTGTGGTTTGGAACTATCTTTTGACACACTCAATTTTAGTCCCTCAGGCTGTTTCCGCTCCAGAGCAGATGCTTCACCAACTCCTCTCTGGCATCTTTCAGCAGCAAGCATTGGTTACTTTATGTATGATTATTTATGTCTGGCATAAAGCAAATAATCAATACTAGTTGAAATATTTTGTTTGTTAATTGCAGGAAAAGGATTACCTTTGAAGATACTTCCTAAGAGATTCAAGAACCTGATCTCCTCTGACTCCTCTGGGTCCATATGACTGAAGGGTTCGGACTCCTGGAAGTGGCTCACAGCTTCCTGGGTGAGAATGATGGCCTGCCTGTAAGAATCAACCAACCGGCCACAGGTCAGCACCCAGGTGAGTGTCCCTGCATGAGGGAGGTTACCTCATGATCCCACCAAAACCCTAAATCTGTTGCTCTAAAGCAAAGGGGTACTTTTCATGCTTTAGAAGTTGAGAAGTACACACTAAATGGTGAGGCTCAGAACATTCTTCTATTCTTACTTCTGAAGCGACAAGGCTTTATTGCGATCTTAAAGAACACTAATCAGGCTTTTTAAACTTTCAAAATCATAAATCTACTCTAAACATCTGTTCATAAACTTTGCTAAATCAAAGTCTGCAAAATATAAACATTCATTAAGGAATTGGTTAATTTAACTTATGGTACATCCATAAAATGAGATTCTATATAGCCATAAAAAAATAATGGGGCAGCTATTAAAGTATAAATATGAACATCACCAAGACATATAGTTCAGTTAAAAAAAAAAACCCACAAGATGGTAGATCAATAGGTACAGAATTCTATCATGTGTGCCAGAAAGGGGAAAAAAAGAGTATCCATTTGATTGTATATCTGTAAGTTATCTTTAAAGGGATGATGAGTAAATTAATAACAATGCTTCCTTTTGGGAAAGGGAACTAGGTGGTTTGCAGACAGGTTTGGAAGGCAGATTTTTCATGGAGTGTTCCATTGTAATTTAAAATTTTGTGCCATGTGAAGATATTGCCTGATTTTTTTAAAGCAGATTTTCATTTTTAAAGTTACTCGAAAAACTTTGTTCTGACATATATTTAAACTTATAATTGGAAGGAAAACAACTCTGGATTTGCAATCAAAAGACTCAGGCCCAGATCAGTTAGTCAAGGCACCTAACCTGAGCCTGTCTCCTTATCTGCAAAATGGGGAAGACAATCTCCCAACACCAACCACCCAAAAGGTTGTGATGACAAACTATAAAAAGCCATAAACTTAGACTAGATAAGAAAGCAGAGAGCAAAAGCTGCTGGTTGACAGACAAAGCCCTCAGATACTAAGAAATACCTAGCATCTATTGCTGAAGATGTTTTGTCATTAGAAAGTATCTCATTTTTTTACATACTTGTAACTAGCCTTGGCAAGCAGCTGACAGATTCGTCCTTTCACCTCTTCAGCAGTCTCTGTATTAGCAATTTCCTTGGGAATCTCCTCTTCTCGAGGAAGCTTTAGAAACTGCTGCAGGGTAGATGTCAACTCTGGCAGCATGGCTTCCCATTCCTCCTCTGGGTCCACCACTGCAGCTGAATGGGACAGTCTTGTTTAGAGTCCCTTTCACTGGGTGTTTATTGATTTAGGGAGAGGGCTGTCAGGTATGAGGACTCCTAGGCAGTATATAATTACTCACAAGCAACCGCAGTTTGCCTCTGGGACCTCATCTCTTGTAATTTCTGGGTCTCCTTCTGCAGTGGTCCAGCAAGGTCAGCATCACTAAGCTACCAGGGTAAAAATGAATGATCAGGGTCACTAACTCACGTAATTTCATCCCCATTTCCATTTCTTTCCTTCTCTCGTGGATGGACCTACTTTACTTACCTTGCAGGAAAAAGGATTATTGGCTAGAAAACTGGCCAGCAGCTGGATGGCATTTTTACACACTAGCACTGACTTGTCTGACAGACGTCCCACAGCTAAGGCCGCCACTGCCTGGAAACGGGTCAGGGGGAGAGCCTACATGGAGCAGAAAGAGAAGGATCAGTTCACATCCCCCATCATCCATTCTGCTCAAGGTGACGTCAGACATATTCTTAGTTCAGCTACCCACCCAATCTGAAGAAATGTTTCTATGAGATATGAAACAGTTAAACGGTACTACTCGCTGTAGTGGGTAAGATGCATTATTGTTGTTAAATGGAGTCAGGCATCTTTGTCTTGGGTAGAGAAAGAACTTTATTACTGATTATAAAGTTCTAAATACTAAACTCTTCTTTGAAGCAGATATTTGTATCTTCAATGTTGGACTCTTCTTTCTTTGCTTGTGGGGGTTACCATCTGTCTTTATGCTAGATGTTTGCTCACCTTCTGCTGGACGATTCGGGTGAAGAGCTGCAAAACACGGCTCCGCACAAAAGAGTTGACATCATGGCCATGGGCTTGCAAGGTGTCCAAGAACTGGTCTCTGGTGTCTCGAGCTGTTTCCTCCAATTGATCACTATTTAGAACCTGCAGCACCATCTCTGCCATGGCCACTAGCAAAGCATTGCGCATCATGTAATTCTAAGAGAGAGAAAGTAAAGAAGCCACCAGGGTCTGCACTCCAGTACTAACCCTCTTTTCCCTCAACACTCATGTTTTTCCAGGCACAAAGAGGTGATAAGGCCTTTAGTCAAGTTAAGTTTGCTTGTGCTTAGCTATGACTTTTCTGGTCAATTGTCTATGTATTCACCCCTGGGGGCATAGGGAAAAGTAGAATCCCAGAGAGGCCCTGTTTGCTCAGCAGAGAATGCAGGGATAAAATAAACAAAAGCTGAAAACAATTTTTTCCCATAAGGTTCACCGAGGTAACCAGGGTGGTAGTTGAGTGTGAAATCTCATCCATCTATCAATACACATTTAAAAAACATTAATTACTATCTTTCATCTAAGGTCTCAAAGTCTTTGATATTCTTAATAATAAACATCCCCTTTTCTTCCCACTCCCCTTCCCACATCTTACTAACAGAATCAGACACAAAAGAACAGAATTCAACACTAGGGGGCCGAGCAAGTCCATTACAGAATATGGTGGTGATCAGAGTATAGGGCTTTTGTCAGGCCAAGAGCCAGAGAACAGGGTCTTGAACAAGAAGTTAAAATAAATTGATGAATGAGTACTCTTTGTCCTTGATATTCACCTAGAAATGCCCAGCATTAGTCTGAGTAGTAGTCAGGTTAATATCCAAGAATAACAGAGACTTGAAAGATGAGTCAACCTGATTTGAGAAAGATCACTGTTGGGAGAAAGCAAGGTGAGCCAGATGGTAGCAAGAGGCCTCTTCCTGAGGAATGGCTGGAACTCAGAATGAAAACGGTCACTACTCTCACTAGACTTACAGCAGAGAATGTAACTCTATCAGACCTGGAGAAAACCAATGTGACAATGAGACAGGAGTAATAAAGGACTCCTTATTCAATAAACTTGATCTGCTTTTCTATAGGACCAAATTGCCACATTGATAGGATACCTCGACTTCATGTGAAAGCTATCTTCTTGTTAAGAAACAGCCTTTCAACAATGGACTTTAAACCTCCTAGAAAAGCTTCAGTGGTCCCAAGAGAACACCTACCTCTCCATCCAGGTGATCTAGCAAAACGCACATGTTGGACATCAGGATTGCTGGGACATGTTCTGCTAATTCCGTCAGGAAAGCTGCAAAGCCCTTTGCTCCTGAAGGGTCTCGACTCAGCTCCTGGGGACACTTCTGTCCAATTTCTCTATATAAGGAAGAAAACACAGCCATAGCAAGATAACTTACTCAGTTCCCAGTGAGGGTAGGTAAGATTGGTGTCTAATATCCAAAGGGATCATCAGCATTATACAGAATATATTTCCAATCTTTATCTTCTCCCCGAGGAGATAATTAGAAACTGAAAGAGAGAGACAGAGACAGACAGAGAGAGAGAGAGAGAGAGAATCACCTTACAATCTCTCCCACTATGCTCTTCATTCCATAGTCAGTTGCCCAGAGACTCACAGCTGTCACCAGAACAGGTGCCAGGTGTTCAAAGTGCTGCAGCATCTGGATAATCTTTACAGTAGCACCTGTGGAAGTACTGACCGTGAGAAATTATAGACAACGTGAGAAAGGTGGACAAAGCAGAGGAATAACTTACTGAGCATATGGTTATAACGTGTCAAGGCCACACCAAGCAGATGTGTTATGGCTTCCCGAGTAGGGCGGTTCTTCTGGTGACTAATGGTAGGGTTCTCCAGGAGACGGTAGCAACAGCCAGTAACCAAACTGAAGGAAGAGAGTGAGATTATGGAATTAGCGTCCAGACTCAATCTCATTCAATCTATCCCTACTGCCCTAACAGTCAGGGTCTTCTAGTTTTCTTTCATTTTATCTACTACCTTCTATACTAAGCCGTTTTGTTATGTTGACCTCAAATAGATGCTCCTTCCAGGGTTACCAACTTTCAACCAGTTATCTTGGTCACACAGTACCTCGAGATTTATACATTCAATAGCTAAGTTTGATACCTTTACTTAGATATGTAAAAGGCACCTCAAAATTTTTATTTCCAAAATAGAACTTCTGGTCTTCTACCCCAATTTCAGTTACTGGCAACTCCATTCTTCCATATGCTCAGGCCAAAATCCTAGGAGAGTCATCCTTGACCCATTCTCCCTCGTATCTCACATCTCCCCAATCTCCACTGTTATTCCTTGGTGTAAGCCACCATCTTTTGCCCTTTTGCCTAAATTTCTTCAACAGCCTCCAAACTGGTTGCCTGCTTCCCCCTATTTCCTACCACAGTCTATTATATATACATCAGCCAGAATAATCTTATTAAAGGACAAAGTCAGGCCACCTTACTGCTTTGCATAGAACCCTTCAGTGTTCTCACCTCTAAGGAAATGCCAGAGTCATCATGAAGGCCTGAAAGGCTCTGTAGTTTGGCTCCTCACTATTCCCCTGAGCACAAAGCCTACCCCTTCTGGCCCTCACTCAGCTGCCATTTCTCTGGTGTCACTGTTATTACTCCTACACACTAGACACTCTCCCTCCCCAGGGTCTTTGCACTTGTTATCTTTCCTGGACTATTCTTCCTTCAGGGATTCTTATAGCTGTCATTCATCTCTTCTCAGTCTTTGCTTAATTGTTATCATCTCTAAGACGTTTTGCTAGAACAGCTGATTTAAAATTGCAGACCTCCTCCATCTTCCCACCCCTATTTAATTTCTCTCCAGATTAATAATGTTTCTATAAATTGTCTTCTCCTCTATAGTATAAATTCTAGGAGGGGAGCAATGATTATTTCCAGTCCCTATAATGATGCCTGCCATGCACCTAGGAGATTCTCAGTAAATAGTGTTTTATTAATAAATAAATGGCATTAGAGACGAGAAATTCATAGCAGTTTCTAACATTCCATTATCTACTTCCTAACATTACTGCACGTTATGGTTACACATCTGTGTTATTACAGGTAGAGCTGAGGATTAAGGATTTAAAGGACCTATCTAGCAATAGGGGAGCTCTGGTGGTATATTGCCCAACACATCTGACTGCTAACCAGAAGGCTGGAGGTTCAAATTCACCAGCCACTATGAGTTGGATCCAACTCCATGACAGTGAGTTTGGTTTGTTTTTTTTATCTAGCAACAGAGCCCTTGTTCCTTATAGCTCAGTATTATCTGTAGTCATTTTAATTACCCACCTGACAAACTCTTCTTCAATTACTGAGTGGTTCCACAGGTGACGAATATCCAACTGGAGCAGCTGTGTTAAAAGCTGAAGAATTGGTTGTCTTTCTTCTTCCCAAACAAAGCCATGGGCTGCCTTGGCCCGGGCTTTCTTACCCTGGAAAGGCACATGGATACATTCAGGAAAAAATAAACAAGGAGAGTCAAGATCTACTAGTGTAAGTATCCAAACTATCCGATATCAAGACAAGGTACAAGGTAGAAGAAAACACAGAAGAAGTACTACAAGTTCTAAAATACAGAAGAGCTGCTTGTCAGGGAAGGATATGCTATGATGCTTGTCAGTATTTCCTCATAAACCCAAAACGAGGTCACAGAATTCTCAGATCCTTGGACTCTCTTCTTCACCATCAATTCCCCTGTCCTGCAACACCCTAAATCAAGCAAGCCAGGAACTCCAAATTACCTTCCCACCAAGATCTAGGTCCATGAGGCTTATCTGGCTGGTCATGGTCTCGAAGGATTCCAAGAAGCGGATCAGAGCATAGCAGTTCATTTTAAGGGCATTCAGGTGGGCGCTTCTATCCGACACACTCAAAGTTGTATCATCCAAGATACCTGGAAGTTCCTGGGAATGGCGGGATACCACTGTGAGGGGCAGAACCTAGGAGTCAGTTTTATTCATTTTCCTTATAGTCCCCAACCTTAAAACATCCAGCATTTGCAGCCATCAGATTACCAAAGATCTGTGTTTCATTTCTCAGTGGTCACAATAGAAGCCAAGTCCTTTGGGTCCCCTGACCCTGATACCGTGAATGTGCCCTGTTCCTACTTTTTCAACTCCAGCTACCACAGTTTCTCCCTGGCAACTGGAAGAATGACCCCTATTAAAGAGGTAGTTCAAAAGTAGAACAAACTTCTTGTTGGTCTGCCCTTACAGCGAACGCACATAACTCTGTTTCGCCCACCAAGATTACAGACCTTAATAGAAGGTCAAAGGTCCTAGGACTTAGCCAAACCAACTGAATCACAACAGCCTTGATATCATCATGTGGCTAATAAAATACAGGAAGCTGTAAATAAACAAGAACAACCACCACCAAAACCCATCCTCCATCCCCTACCCTGACTCATAAACACCTTTCATCAGGAATTCCAGAGTGTCTTCTTTGAGGCCAGGATCTATACTTCGAAAGTGACTATGAGGGAAAGAAAGAACAGAAGTGAGACAGGAACCTGTAGAGCCCATTCTAACAGAGCTAATACGTAAAAACATGTGAAACTGAGCAACTGAATAAAAACAATGGCAAGTTATGATAAATAGTCATCAGTAGAGGTATCAGCACCAAGTACTATTTATAAGCGAACCCATAATTTGGACTTCAGCACTACATGCAAAATTAGGACAAAGAGTCACCAGTTTCTTTAAAAGTACCAGTTGGATACTTTACTTACTGTAAAATGCTGTAGATAGTATCAAAGTGTTCTAGCATAGCCAGGGGCCCTTGGACTCGGAAAGCAGCCTGAAATGCTATTAGAATGAAAGAAAATGATCAGTTTAGAAGGGAAAGCCCTTTGGGGCAAATTCTGTCCATGACAGAAAATAAGATTAAGTGTTTTTATTGGTGGAGTCACAAAAAAGATAATTAGTTCATTTCAATGTCACTTACTATAAAAACAACACCTTACATTTGTGTTGTGTTTTACAATTAACAAAGCCTCACTTGAGCTCTATCACATCTCTGAGCCAGATAAAGCCAAAAACAACCAAACCCACTGCCACTGAGTCGATTTTGACTCACAGTGACCCTACAGCACAGAGGAGAACTGCCCCATAGGGTTTCCAAGGCTGTAAATCTTTATGGAAGCAGCCTGCCTCACCTTTCTCCCATAGAGCGGCTGGTGAGTTTGAACCACTGACCTGGTTAGCAGCTCAATGTTTTAATCACAGCACCATCAGAGCTCCTTGAGCTACATACAGCAGACATTATGCCTATTTCACAGGAAAAGAAATTAAGCCTCAGAGTTTCATGTGTGACTTATAGTAGTTGGTAGTAAATCCAAATCCAGGATTTTTGTTTTTTCTCAACAATTACAAAAATGTTGCAAATATAGTACCAAGTTCCTGTACCTTTCACTCAGATAACATTAACAGCTTATATATAACCACAGAGTAAGGATCTATTCTAAACCAAGAAATTAATATTAGTTAAATAAAACCAAACCAATCCCATTGCCACTGAGTCAATTCAGATTCATAATGACCCTACTGAAAACAGAACTGCCCCATACGATTTCCAACGTTTTAAGACTTTACAGAAGCAGACTAACTGCCTCATCTTTCTCTTGCAGAGTGGCAGGTAGGTTCAATCTACTTACCTTTTGGTTAGCAGCCAAATGCTTTAACCTCTGCACAACCAGAGCTCCTCATTAACTAAATACCATGAACTAATTCAATGGCAGGGAGCTCTGGTGGCATAGTGCCTAAGGCACTTGACTGCTAACCAGAAGGCTGGCGGTTCAAACCCACCAGCCACTCCTTGGAAGGAAGGTTGGGCAATCTACTTCCGTAGTGATACTGCCTCGGAAATCCAAGGAGGGGTTGCTATGAGTCGGGTCCGACTCGACGGCACATAACAACAACAACAACAATAATGTTCCACACTCATGTTGTACTTTTACACTTTGTCTCATGACATTGACTACAATTTACCCCAATGCGACAGCTCCCTTCCCACTTCCTCCTGATAGTTACCTCTTCCCTGTGTCCATCCCTCCATGCACTCCTGCCCCCTGAGCTGTCTCCCTGTGCATAAACAGCCCTTCTTTCTCTCATGATTGTTCTCTCTAAGAGGTGTATCTACCTCAGGTAAATGTTCAAATCATATGCCTGTCTTTTGTTTGGCTGGAAGCCACAGGTGTGGGTTCAATTCCAGACCTGAAAGGCAGCTAAGGGCCATAGTCTCAGGGGTTCCACCAGGCTTCATCAGACTAGCAAACCTGGTCCCCACTCCCCCTTTTTTTCCAAATGATTTTGAGTTTTGTTCCACATTGTTCTTCCTCTCTATCCAGGATCTCCTACATAGATCCCCCTCCGAGTGGTTGACAGTGAAAATCAACCATTCTTAATGGACTCCTGCTTCCTTTTATGGGAAAATGATATGGGTTATGGGTTTCTAAACCAAAGACTAGGTAGCAGTTAGGCTTACTGTTATTGGGTTGCCATTGCTTTTAGGCTCTCTCAGTAGACAGAAGTAGGAAACACGCACACCCCCCCCACCCAAGTATCTATTTCGATCTCTCTGTAGATATATTAAAAATATGAGCTCATCTGCATACCTCCAATTCTGGTTCAAACCCCAGGATTCAAGGTCCTTGGGTGGTACAGATAGTTTGCACTAGGCTAGTAATCCAAGTTGCCTGTTCAAACTCACCCAGTGGCTCCATGGAAGGCCTAGTGAGAGTAGCTTCTGTAAATATTACAGCCAATCTGACTCTAGAATCTATGGTGTCTCCCCAAATGAATATATAAACAAAAATATGCCTCAAAACCTCAGGATTCAGTCTAACCTCCTCCTTACTTTTTAATTTTTAACTCCTTTCTCAGATAGCAGAAATTTTAACTCTCATTACCTATAATATATTTAGATACTATTTCTTAATCCTAGTATATACTCTGGTGGCACATTGACTGCTAACCAGAAGGCTGGAGGTTCAAACCCACCAGCCACTCCTCAGAAGGAAGACTGGGCAATCTACTTCCACAGAGATACTGCTTTGAAAACCCAAGAAGGGTCGCTATGAGTCGGATTAGACTCAACAGCAGAGAGTTTTTTTGAGTATACAGGTAAAGCAGTTTCAGAATTGCTAACCCACAACCCTATGAAAAATAACTAGCTTATAATTTTTATGTAAAGTTCCTTTGTATAGAGTATATAGCCAAACCACTGTTTTTCAAAGTAACTTAGGTTAGTTCTTTTCTTCCTCACTTCCTTTAGATCGGTTATATCATACATCGTAATATAGTTAGGTTAATTTGTTATTACTGATATTTTGAAAAAAATGTGAAAACTGCAGGATCTTTCGATCCCCAAACTCAGTTCTCTTTTCACTCTAATATTGTACTGCTTTTTCTTCTTTTTTTTTTTTTTCATTTTTTTAACTTTTTATTTTGATTTGGGTGAAGGTTGACAAAGCAAATTGGTTTTCCACTGAACAATTCACACACATTTTGCGACACTGATTGCAATCCCCACAATGTAACAAGCACTCTTTCCACCCACTTCCTTCCTATGTTTCCCTTTTCCATTTGTCCTTCTTTCCTATCCCTTCCTGACTTTTGAGCTTTATCCCTGGGTAAATGCTGCCCTTTTGATTTCATGCGGTTGATTGTTCTAAGGTTGACTGTTCTAATACCTCCTTGTGCTACTGTTCACCTTGTAGACCTGTCTATTGTTTAGCTGAAAGTTAAGCCATGGGAGTGAGTTTAGTTCCAGACTCGAAAGGTGACTAAGGGCCATAGTCTCAGGGGTTCTACTAGTCTCCATCAGACCAGTAAATGTGGTCTTTTAAAAATACTATTAATCTGAATTTTTTTTCTTTAATTGGTTCTTTAACTGTTTCTTCTCATCTTCCCAGCTTTTAAATGTTGGACTGCCTTAAGTCTTACTCTTCAAACTGCTTCTCTTCTCAATCTACATTCACTCTAATCTCATGGTTTTAAATACCATCTACACAGTATGAAATCCATTATGTATCATTAGTTGCTACCTCTCCCTTCAACTCCACATTCATATAACAAAGTCTAAACCTGCTCCTCTCGTATTTCCCCCATCTCAGCAAATGGCAACTCCATTCTTCTAATTACTCAGGTCAGAAAACCTTATTAATTGTCCCCAGATTCTTGTTTAACCCTATAAATCTGATCGATCATCATCTTGTTGGTTCTACTTTCAATACATATTCAGAATTCCACCTTTTATCACCATATCCAATATATCACTCCAGTCCAAGCACCCTGTTGTTGTTGTTGTTGTTATGTGCCGTCGAGTCGGACCTGACTCATAGCGACCCCTCCTTGGGTTTCCGAGGCAGTATCACTACGGAAGATTGCCCCATCTTCCTTCCGAGGAGTGGCTGGTGGATTTGAACCGCCAGCCTTCTGGTTAGCAGTCAAGCGCCTTAGCCACTATGCTACCAGAGCTCCCTCTGTAGTGATACTGCCTCGGAAACCCAAGGAGGGGGTCGCTATGAGTCGGGTCCGACTCGACTGCACATAACAATAACACAGTAGAACAGACAGGCAATGTTACTACATGTGGGATGGTTGTTTTGAAGTGCTAGCCACAGTGTCAGCTATGTAGTCTTACCTTTAAGCTGTGACGGAAGATGTCTAATGGGCAGCACCTCTTGTACAACATACTGATTCACTCCTCCGCTTTTCAACAACTCCTCTGGGGATAAGGGCAGATGGAACTCATACAGTTGGGGAGACATCTTTCTCCCACTGGCTCACAGGGCTGGAAACCAAATGGCAGAAATATTAGGATCTACATCTAAGCCCTATTGTTTTATCTGGTTCTATTTTTTTTTCCCCACTTCCAATGTATATTAATGCTTTTTAGACTCACAAGCAGCTGATAACATTATCTTAAAAGATTTAAGGCACAAGATCAACCCTGGATTAGAATCTAATTCTACTTGTGACTCTACCAGCTGGTTATGTCACTTAACATCCTAGGCATCATCTGTAAAACGAGGTTACTAATCTATTTACTTCACGATGTTCCTGAAGATCAAATGAGTCAAAAATATCAAAGTGTTTAAAGAACTGTAAAGTGGCATAAACCAAACGAAACCAAACCTTGATGTACTGCCTTCAAGTAGATTCTGACTCACAGCGACCCCACAGTACAGAGTAAAACTGCCCCACACAGATCTCAAGGCTATACATTTTTACTGCCAAGTCTTTCTTCCTCCCAAGTAGCTGATGGGTTCCATATGCTGACTTTATGGTTAGCAGCCAAGTGCTTTAACCACTATGTCAGGGCTCGCTTGTAAAGTGGCAATGTGTAAAATTATCATTATTTCCATTTTTATGGGCAAGCTCCTTAAGTATAGATTTCTCACCCAAGGCCGGAACAGTGGCCCAACATGATGCACTGAGTTTCCAGGCTCCAAAATAAGAGAACATTTATTACTTGTTTATTCTGTGCTAGGCCTTTAAACTACTTTAATATATCACATATAATTTAATTCTCCTAATCTCAAACCCATAGAGTGCATATGTGAACCCAATTTGCAGAAGAGGAAATTTAGGTTAAGTGATTTGCCCAAATTACGCGATTCCGTTGCGGATCTGACTGGCTTTCTATTACAGTGCACCCCAAGGATACTGCCACTACACCTCTCTCCCTCTTGTACACTGCCTAATACCGAATCGTACTACATTTCCCAGTCTTAGTTCCCCGATCCCCATTTATACCACACCTTGGTAGAGCCCCTCACCCGCCGCTCCTCTGACTTGGGCAGTTGGACCTAAATGAAAAGAAAAAACACGGACTGCACAATACACACCAATCAGCGAGGCAGCTTTCCAGAGAGGCGGGAAACTAGCCAATCCCGACCAGACCGAGCAAAAAACCCGCCCCTGGATTAGGCGCTACGCGGGCGAAATCACAATCTGAGTTCAAATATCAACGGCTGCAAGGGAACCAATCGCGATGCTCGTTGGAGAGACCGGCCAATCACAGCAGAGGGGCCAGAGTGCCCGGCTTGGATTCCGGATCTGGATTTGCTACCCAGCTTCTTCCACTAACACCGAGCCTTGAGGCTGCAGGGTCTTTTTTCTACCCACACTGGAAAGGTTTTGGCAGTGCCTGCCAGAATTACCGCGTTTCCAGATGCGCATTGCTAGTGTCACTGAGATAGTGACCCACTCATTCACCCCAGGGCAAGGGACAAGTCCAGGCCGGGAGTTAGAAAGCGTGGGCTCTAATCCAACTTTCACTGTCTCTTGTGCTGTGTCCTAAAAGTCACTTAACTCTGAGCCTCAAATTTCTTCTGTAAAACGGGGTAATAAAACATCTGATGCGTCCATAAAAGTTATGAGGCTCAGAGGAAAAGGCTTCTTTAGTCTTTGAACACGCCGAAGCTCCCAGTTCCAGACTTTCATTCTTTTACAGTTGAGAGACACCCAAGGAATAAAGAAACGATTAACTTTCTTGAGATTTCAATGGGGGGGGGGGGAACCCTGGGTGGTAACGAAGAAGCAGTGGTGGCGCAGTGGTTAACCCATCAGGCTGCTAACCAAAAGGCTGGCGATTTGAATCCACCAGCTGCTTCACGAGAGACAGATGAGGAAGTCGGCTTCCTTGGAAAATTACAGGCTTGGAAACTCTGTGTGGCAGTTCTACTCTGCCCTATACGGTCGCTATGATTTGATTCTAGGTGGAGAAGAAGAACCTCCGTCACCTACTCCGTAGTTCCGAAACGGATGCGCAGACCGGAAACGCCCCAAGGGGCGGGGTGTGTGGTTGTAAGTGTGTCGAAGCTTTTGTGCGCCGGAACCTGGTGGACTGGGCGGGCCCTGCGCTCAAAGTTCCCTGAGAAAGGCCCAAGATGGCTGCTTCTAGTTTCGTCCTGCTGTAAGGGCAGCATTTACATGACCCGTCGTTACCTCCTTGAAGAACACATCTCGTCCACACGTTTGGATCAGTGCGGTGCGCCGTTGTAGGACAGACGAGAGCAATGGCAGGGAGTCTATCTTCGGGAGCAGGCAGTGGCCTGTGGGGCTGGGTGCCCCTAGCCTGCAGAAGCTTCTCTCTGGGTAAGTAGCTGATGTGGAAAGATGTCCTGAGAACTACTTTCAGTAGGTGTCTCAGACTCATTCTTTTTTTCCTTCTTCCCTAGGCGTTCCTGGAATGACCCGTGTAAGGCTCACTCTCCCACCTCCTAAAGTGGTTGATCGTTGGAATGAGAAGAGGGCCATGTTCGGAGTGTATGACAACATCGGGATCCTGGGTAAGGCTGGGTTCGGAATTCAAAATGGCAGTTACGCTATAACGAACGTTTTTTCATCTGTGTGGGTAATGGTGACGTTATAAATAAAAGCAAACATGTAGATATTTACATTGTCTTTAGAACTGCTCTGAGTACCCGACCTTTAATCCTCATCGTAGCCTTTCCACTTTACACATGAAGAAACTTAAAAGTAGAAGTGTGAAGAATTTTTTCAAAGGTAGTAAATGACAGTGCCAGAATCTGAACCCCAGGCAGTCGGCCTCAGAGTCTTCTATTTACTGTACTTAATGTGTCTTGACTACAAGTGTTACTTAGGAAGATGCAACTATTGGTCGGAAGCTTAGTTGGTGGAGGCTGGATTCTCTTGTCTTGGAACTGATATGTTCTCTCCTATTACACAGGTAACTTTGAAAAACACCCCAAAGAACTGATTAAGGGTCCCAGATGGCTTCGAGGTTGGAAGGGGAATGAATTACAGCGTTGTATCAGAAAGAGGAGAATGGTTGGAAATCGAATGTTCATTGTTGACCTTCACAACCTTAACAAACGCATAAGCTATCTTTACAAACATTTTAATCGTCATGGAAAATATCGGTAGAAGAGAAGTCTGCAAACTATGGAAGTAGTACATCTGTCACCTTGAATAAGAGGGACAGTACATTTCCTTATGCAGAAAGGGCTTTGTATGTTTTGTGTAATAAAATGAGGTTTCTTTGGAATCTGATATGCACTCACCTCAATTTCTTCTAAATGTTGCTTTTATTTATTCACATAAAATAAGAAATCTGACTAATACCTAAATGTTACTGTCGTAGGTTTAGACTTCATTACTTGCCCTTTGCAGTCTAGCCATTGTTGTTGTTGTTGTTATGTGCCGTAAAGTCGGACTCATAGCGACCCCTCCTTGGATTTCCGAGGAGGTATCACTAGAGAAGTAGATTGCCCAGTCTTCCTTTCGAGGAGTGGCTAGTAGGTTTGAACGGCCAGCTGTCTGGTTAGTCAAGTGCCTTACGCTACCAGAGCTCCCAGTCTAGCCATATGACCTTTAAAAAAGAAAAGTTTATAAGAGTACCTAATTGTTGGCACTTGTTGACATTGGCCCTTTATATTACTGAAATTGATCATTTTGAATTATTCCATAAGCCTATTAAGTTAAATATATTTCAAAGACCCTTTCACACTGGAATGAAATGAATTAGGAAAATGGAATTAGACTTCTAAACTATTCTTTTTTTTTTTTTTT